CACCAGGCTCGTCTGCGCATCTGCCGGCTGATAGTTGATTGTATACAATAGACTAAGCGCGACATAACAGTCAGCGTAGCTCCTTGTCTTCAACCAGATACATACCTGGACAATGTTCCCTCAATCTCGCCAGCTACATTGAAACTACCAAAGCTAGGCTCCTGATCAATAATCTCTTGCAGATCATATACAGTCAACGGTTGCTTGGCATATGTGCATAGGGCGAATATCGTTTCAACGATTCGGCGGTCCATCTCACTCCGTTTGGCGCGGACGATCTCAATCATCGCGGTGTACAAGCCTTCTTGACTATTGACATTATCGATCTTAGCCAAGGCAGATGTTTCGTCTCCCTCCGATTGTTCCATCATGGTCAAGGTAAGATCCACAGAGGACATGACTCCTGAGCGGCGTCAGTTAGTATCACATAGCCCATACCCCATGAAGGTACTTACGGCTCGGGTTCTGCAGCAGCTTGCGCTCAATAGCACTACGAGTGGAATCCTTGAATGACTTCAAGACCTCGGATCCGTTGATACGAGCCTCGATGATCCGCTCAAAGTCGCCCCCGGCCTTGGTCTTGGTGATGAGGTCGATCTTAGGACATTTAGTGAATCCAAACACCGTGTCGTAGAGCGAGTCATCCGTGGTTCCGGTCATGAGGATCCGGATGCCACACTTGTCCGAGTTCAAGGTTTGAAACAACTCGAGCATGCGTCTGCGGTCGGATTCCTCCATGAGCTCCACGCCGTCCAGCAAAATGAACACGTCTCTTGCGGTGTCGGGAGTTTTCTCGAATTTCTTCACGAGAAGGTTGTTCCACAGAAACTTGAGCTTCTCTTCCTGCTTGTCATTCTGTCCCCCCTTAAAAATCTTCGAAGCGATCAGGTCCTTTGCGATCGACTCGCACAGCTTGATGTCGTGGTCGGCAATCTGCACCAGGATGTACGCAAGAACATTCCGGAACGACTGCGACTCCTGTCTACCCGGCTCAAAGGGGAAGTAGGCCGCCAGCATCGTTCGCCGCTGGTCGGGAATATTCTTGTCATTGGCGATACGGTACCGCTTGCTCTGCTCCTGGATCGACAGATAGCAGTGGTAGGCGAAGAAGGTCTTGCCGGTGCCTGCTTCTCCCGAGACAAAGATGAAGGGGTTCTTGTGGCCGGTCGCCCACGACTTGTAGGCCGGGTCTGTCTCAGACCACGAGAAAGTCCCCGGCACGAGATGCTTCCGCACCAATTTCATCTGCGTCTCGACGCGAACTTCGGTGTCCGGATCGAGATCCTTGCTGTTCTTCAGGGTTTCCTTGATCTTTTCCAGCGCACTCGCCTTGCCCCACAGCGGCTGCAGATCGGACGATTTGATCTTCATGTCCTGCAGCGCTTGAATGAAGCTGGTGGGGAGATTTTCGATCTTTTCGCCCATGCCCTCCACCACATTGAGGATCTGGATCGGCAAGGTGGCGCGGAACAGCAGAATGACTTTTTGCACATGGTCGCATTTCGCCATGATTTCCTTGTTCCGTCCTTTCAGGAGCGCCCGTATGTACATTCCTGTCGCAAATCAGCCTTCAGGCACAGGCAGCCAGCAGTGTGTGTAGGACCCACTCTTCCGACTGTACTCGCTGAAAACCCTTCCGCTGAAGGAGCAAAAGTCCACCATGGCGATGAGGATATCGGTCAATCGGCGCAGGAAGTTGGACTTGTCGAACTGTCGGTGTCGGAGGTCGCCGATATCTTGGAGCGCGATGTTCAGCGTCTCAAAAGTCGACTCAATCAGATCGAAATCCTCCGACATATCTTTAGCCGCCTGTGCAAGTGTCAGCCCAGCCAGGACCGGTGACCAAAGGCTTTCTTCCACTTCCGCCCGGTCCTCACCTGAATCATATACAATATCGAACCAGCCACCAGCTGCGCAGGCACCGCATACTAGACATTGCGATTGGAAAAAGCATCAGTCCTCCCATTCAAAACTCAGTCGCATGTAAAGTCCCCCTCACCGTGCCGGAAACATGACCCTTGACGAAGGTGACCCCGGAGTCCACCCAGTCCAGACACCCGGCCACCGACTTCATCACCTTATCCTTCCGGTCGCCGGGCCGTCGCGAGTGTTCGAACAATTTAGACGCCTTCTGCAGCCCAGTCTCGGCGTCGGACCATTGATCCCCTCGGGTTTGCAGTTCCTCCAGGTTGACATTGTTTTCCGCCGCGATGCGATCGAGCGCCTCTTTCCACAGGTCGTCTAAACTCTTGGGCTCTTTGCTCTCTGCGACGGTTCCCGTGGGCGGGGTTGGCGCGGAGGCTGCAGCCGCGGGCTTGGGGTTGGGTTTCTTATCGGACATGGTGTTGTCGTACGGCTAGATGGCCGCCATGTAGTCGTAGGGGGTTGCGCGCGCGATCGGAGATGCAGGGGAGGGGAGGAGGGCGCGTCGGCGCGGATCCGGGGCGATCAGGCATATTTAAAATTGCTGGACTAGCTGAAGAACCCTTTTAGTGCAGTGCATTAGTCCGGTGTCAGGTGGTCAAGGGGCGGATGAGGCTGAGATTATCGTGCTGCCCATTGCTGGAGTGCGGGTCGGCGGGAGATTGGATCCTCGCGCGATCGGACGAACTGAGCGAACTGTGCGGCCTAACCCGCGCCTAACGGGATGAATACGAGGCTCGGGGGATATGAGAGTGGGAAAAGAGAAGGGTCTGCGTATTGCTCCGAGAGATGGGTTTGCGAGGTGACTGGGGGTCCTGGCATAATGAGTGTGCCTGGTCTTTGAGCGTGAGTTGAGTTGAGTTGAGTTGAGTTGAGAGTGCATTTGTTATCAGTGATTGTTTAGAAGGGGGAGGGAGTGAAAGTGTCTGGGGAAGTCGAAGTCTGGATTGGGGCGGTGGAGAATCGGCGGGAGAAAGTGGAGCCGTTGGTCAGGCTGTGGCTCGGTGCCTTACTGCCTGATCCCCCCAGCAGCAGCAGTAGGTGACTGGGATGGTCGTGCAGGAGGAGCTGCAGAGGTAGTCAGGTACAAACTTTGGTGATGTGTGCAAGGGTCCGGGGTTGTCACTCACATCTGCCTGCTAGGCTTCACCCTCACCATAAGCCCACCAATTCGGACCTCCAATGCATTTCCTCCTTATCACACAGCGCATGTCTGGCTGAGTCAGCGGATGAGTAATGACGGGGAAGTGACAGGTGGATCACATGATTCCCGTCACCGGTGCTGACCGCCTGGGGTTCGCCGCCCGGAAGTATCTTTCCAAACGCCGCAAAAAAAACTTTCCTGAATCCATCGACCCAGGCCCTGGCCGAGCAAAACCACTCCCTGCTCCTACAGCCCCGCGTCCTCTTTTCTTGCCACTTGTGATTTTTATCTGTCGATCTCCATCTAAGCATACTGAGAAACACCGGAATACATCCCATCGACATCCTCCATGGCAACGATGCAGACCGTTGTTCGCAAGACGGGCGGTGCATCTGGAGAACCGCTTCCGCCCACACTTCCGACTGATACCGTGCCCGACCGCGTGAACACCTCCAGTCTGGGATCATGGTCTCATTTGATTGCCGGCGCGTGAGTGATCTATCGGCAGTTGACCTTGTCGACACCTGAAAGAGAAAGCTAATCGGAGTGCAGGACCGGCGGGATGGTGACAGCTATCGTGACAAGTCCTCTTGACGTTCTCCGCACGCGGTAAGCGCTTTCCTCCTCCAAGCTGGCAGCATCGCCTCTCAACAATTTCCCCCGCGAAGCTAATAAGACATGCACATGAACAGCCTCCAAACCGACTACTACCAGACCCAATCCAACACCCGCCTCACGCCACACCCCAATCAAATACGACAATCCTTCGTCCGCTCCTCGGTCAACCACTTCCGGGAGACCTTCGGCATTCTGTTCTCGATCCACCGCGTCGAGGGCTGGCGCGGGATGTTCAAGGGCCTGGGCCCCAGCCTGACGGGCGTGGTGCCCGCCAGCGCGGTCAAGTTCTACACATACGGCAACTGCAAGCGGCTGCTGCCGGAGGTGCTGGGGTGCGACAAGGACACGACGCTGGTGCACGCGCTGTCGGCGGCGTGCGCGGGCATCGCCACGGGCAGCGCCACCAACCCCATCTGGGTGGTCAAGACGCGCCTGCAGCTGGACAAGGCGGGCGCCCGCCGCTACAAGAACAGTCTCGACTGCACGCAGCAGATCCTGCGGCACGAGGGCCCCAAGGGTCTGTACCGCGGTCTGACGGCGAGCTATCTGGGGAGCATCGAGACGACGCTGCATCTGGTCATGTACGAGCGCATCAAGGGGCTGATCGCCACCAAGGTCGATCTGGAGGGGGCCGGCCCCGAGTCGAGCCAGTTCGTGCAGGGTTTGGCGCTGAGCGGGGCCTCCGGGTTGTCGAAGATGGTGGCCTGTCTGATCGCCTATCCTCACGAGGTGAGTTGGACCATTGGTTTTCAAGGTACGAATCTTTGCTGACGGCTCTCTGTCTCTAGGTCATCCGCACTCGCCTCCGACAGGCCCCCATGGCGGACGGTCGGCAGAAGTACACCAGCATCCTGCAGTGCGCGCGGCTGATCCTGAAGGAGGAAGGGATGATCGCGCTGTACGGCGGGTTGACGGCGCATCTGCTCCGGACAGTTCCGTCGGCGGCGATCACGATCGGGACGTATGAGCTGGTTCTCAAAGTCCTTGAGAGACAATGATTGGCGTGGGCCGGCCAACGGCGAGGCGAGACCTCGGGCGGGCGGCGACCGCCTGCTTCCCGTCTCATGTATTATAGACTGTATGATTCGAAAAAAAGATGTGGCGCATAGATACCCTGTAATCCGACTGCTTGAGGGGTGAATTGTACAGGCCACGATACCATTCCGGGGTGTTTTGTTTTGTCATGTGTGCTTCTGATTCGGGTTGGCGTTGAGCGCGTTTTGTTTTGGTGCACGGTGTTGTTGTTTGTCAGCCACTCCCGAAATATATTTAGAATAGACTCTACTTGCTCACAACCACGGTCATGACTCAGTGCTCCGTTTCAATTCTCTATTCTCGTTAAACAAATATCGATTCCTTGCATCGGGTGTGTAAAATGGTCAATCCAGAATCTTCATAGCCTTGGTTGTTCGTGTACGGAGTACTAAGTATCGAAATGTTATCACGTGACCATTGTTTACTTCGTGCAAATATAACGCGCAATCTCGACGAAGGGACGAGAAAACTACGATTATGATCACATCCACAATTTACAGATCAAGAGTAAAAAAGGATAGAAAAAGGATCGTAGCATTAACTCATCATATACATAAAACAAACAGGCATGCCATTATAGAAGAAAAAGAAAAAGGATGGTATCAAATCCCACTCCCGCAACCTATCCACAGCCCGACCAATCATCTCACATCTCAGTGAGCATCTCACATCTCCACACCGCGATCCCCTTATCCGTTCGGAAGGAAGGACCTTACAAGGCAGCCATCACACCGAGGACACCGGCGACACCGGCGACACCGAAGCCCAGGACGCCGGCGGGGGTGGCCTGGGCGCCGGCGGCACCGGTCGAGGAGGAGGCGGAGGCGGAGGCGGAGGCGGAGGAGGCGGAGGCAATGTTGGTGACGGTGCCGGTGGAGGTGGTGGTGCCGGTGGAGGTGGTGCCGTCGTGGGTGGTGGTGAAGGTGGACTTGGCCAGGGTCAGGCTGTCGGAGATGGTGGAGGTGGCGGTCGCGGAGCCGTTGGTGCCGGTCAGGGTGGTGGTCGACGCGGGCCACACGGAGGAGGAGCCGGAGAGCGCGCTGGAGACGGCGCTGGAGGCGGCCGAGCGGGCGTCGCTGGCCGCGCTGGTGGCCTCCGAGGCGACCGACGAGGCAAGCGAGGTCACGTCCGAGGCCCCGGCGGCTCCCGCGGTCGACGCGGCGCTAGCGAGCGAGGTGGCGCCGCCGACGGCGTCAGTGGCGGCCGACTCGGCGCCCGAGACGACGTCCGAGACGACGCCGCCCTGAGGGGAGGCCAGGGCGGCGGTGGACAGGAGGGTGGTCAGGAGGAGGCTCTGGAGCTGCATTTTGGTTGTGGTGGTGGTGTGGTGTGATAAGATAGCGGTAATCGATTACTGATAACGTTATTGAGATGGTACCTGACCCGAGGAGTGAGGATTGATGTATGTATGGACTGGATGTATGCAGGAGAAACTGGAGAACTGAAGAGATTCAAGACCTGCGAGGGACGAGGGTCTTTATATCCTCCATCGCCACCAGGCTTCTGGCATACACCACACAAGCAAACGCAAGAGGTGACTTACCTGTCGACGACAAGAATAGCAGCCCAGCCCAGCCCACTGCATGATCATCTCCATCCTGCTCCCCCACGTTGACAACCTCTCATACGAATCAGGGCTGTCGTGAAGGCTGGCTCGACCAGTCACAGCCCTGGAGACGCGGCCCAGGCCCCACTATGATTCCATTGCGAGCACTCAGTGTCTTGCCGCGTTCCTGTTTCCCTGCTTGGCAATGACGTTGCCCATGTGTCTAGAATTTGGGTTTCTCTTTTGGCTGTGCTTCTCGTCGTCATTGGAGACTCGGGTTGTTTGTCTGTGGCGGTACGGTTGTGGCGGGTGCCTTGCCCTGCCTCTGTTTCTGGCCGGCATTCCCCCAATGTGAGCCATCATTCGCAGCACACCAGAGGGAGTGTGTTGGAGGGTGGTAGCTAAGAATAAGTTCAAACTCTGATACTGGACGGAACCCCCGAAGTGTACCCCATTTGTTGATCCCCAGCGCAGTCTCGCCACTCACAGGCACCAGCATTGACAGCCCGTGTAACCCTACCACAGGAGACTGACTGGTGTGGTGCAAACCACGTCGACCTGCTGCTCTTGCTGCTGCAGCTACAGCTACAACTTCCTGCCGGCCATCAAATCTGCATGCAACCAAGCGTGGGTGCGTCATCAGCAACCAGCAACCAGAGCCCGAGACATGGACGGACGGAAGTATCGGGCCGGGGGGGGGCAGGCAGATGAGGATCGTCAGATTCGTCGGTCGGATCTTGGCTAGGCTGGGTTTGCGTAATCTTGATGCAGGGTAAGCAAAGAGGTGTTCGTGTACGAAGAGCCAGTGATCAGCCTGACCACCACTACGGGTGGTTTATCCGGGAGCCATCGAGTGACTTAGTACTCATATTATTATTTACCATGAGTACGTACATGTGTATGTTAATGCCGTGATGGTCAGCGCAGGGTTCCTGGACCCTGTTTTTCTTCGCTCTTTTCCTCCCCTCGGCGATGGAGGGTCTAATTGGAAGGAAAACGGGGGGCAGAGTCATCCGGGGTAAATTTCTTGTTTCTCATAAGGCTGAGTGGTGAATTTCGGCTATTTGGTGCTCACCGAAATGCCTCGAAGGTTCTTTCCTCCCTTGGCCCCCCAAACAAAACAATCCTCCCCCCAGATTATTCCCCGGCCAGAGCCCAAGACCATTGAACTCAAACCATACGATACGACCCGATTATATCGAAGCATACGGCAAAAAACAAGTCTAGCCTCAATTTTCCATTCACAAAGCAACAAACATAAGTTAGTCCAGACTTAACCCAAATCCTCACCCTCATTGTAAATCCTCAAGAAAAAAAAACCCCTTGACGTCAGCCGGGGGCTCCCAACTAAGTGGAGTACAAACCGTGCACTCACCACCGACCCCAACGACGATCCTTCCCCTTCGGCAAAGCAGAACCTCAACCCTCAACCCTCAACCCTCAACCCTCAACCCTCAACCCTCCCACTCCCACTCCGTCTTCGGTCTGCGCTTGGACAATACACAGCCCAAAAAAATTATCGCGCACAAACATTCTGGACCCGGTTTTTTGACGTCAATTCTCCCGGGTCTATTGCCACTGTGCAGTGCAGGAACGACATCTGCCGAAAGCACGTTGGCCGTCATGGGTGCTTCTTTTTTGTCCAGGGGAGGCACGTGCGGAGTTGGCGGGTTGGTGCGATTTCGGGGAGTTGTGGTGTGATATGTCGACTATTGTAGACATACATATTGCTGGTGTGGTGGGTTGCTGTGTTTACTGACTCTGCATAGTAGGATATGAGCGGTGCTGCAGGTCATGCTGGATGATCTTCTATCGCTATCCGTACCGGCGGTCGGAGGTCACTGCCCTGACCGGAAGTACTACGTAAGGATACACTCGCCACATGTGGAGAGATGTCGACCACTCCTGTTGTCGACGGGGAGTTGTTGGTGCGATGGGCAGGGGTGCGGCTACGGTGCTGTATGAGTAATATGGGTTACGGAATTGTGCTCTTATTTACCAAGGGTTGAATCCTGGCTGAGCGAGGCCATAAGGCTGAGATCACTATCCCAACAAGAGCGCGTTGAGCACGTTGTCAGTTCTCTGAAAATCAGAAGAGACGATGGGGTAACTCGGTCACATGATCCAGCCCCGGCCTCGCAACAAGCCAGGCCCTGCCCTCATACATGCAGCCACCGCAGCAATAATCCCAAAGGAACTGCAATTTAACCGTAAGAGTAACCGCACTTCTCATTACCATTAATCATAACCACCATGCATCTATCTATTAAGTAGACCCCAGTCCACCCATCTATCCCGGTATATATGTGTACGAAACAAAACCGCTATGCAAGACCTAACACTTCCCCCCATTTTAACTCAAACCAAAAAAACTTTTAATGAGCCAGTTGACTGGCCAGTTTGCTCTTGGCCCGGATCTTCGGCCCGTAGAAGACCAGCACCCAGGGCACGATGACCAGGACGGCTCCCTATAGCCAACAAACAAAGTTAGCACTCCGCCTACAACCACCGATCAAGAAACGGAGATGAAACGTACAATACCACCCAACAAACTCGACGCCCCGGGGTACCCCACGTTCGTGAACAGAGCGTTGGTGACGAGCGGGAAGACGCCGCCTAGGAGGTTGCGGCCTGTTTCCATTTCCCGTTAGTTAATCCCCATCTGGGGTTGACAGCAGAGGCAGGGAACATACAGCACGACTGCGCGGCGATGGCCGAACTGGCGAACCGGTGGTAGGTGTCGGCCAGATAATTGAAGACGGCCAGGTAGACGGCGAAGATGCCCATGGTGGCGCACCCGATCGCCATGGTCGGGGAGATCCACGCGATGGACGAGTACGAGGTCCAGCCGAACCAGAACAGGCCGATGGGCATCAGCACCGCCTCCACACACACGAAATACAGGCGGGCCTCCGGGGTGCGCGGGAGGAGGTTGTAGTGGTGGGCGATTTTGTCCTGGTAGATGCTGATCACCGTGATGAGGAGGGCGCCGACGCACATTGCTTGAGGATGTTAGCATGGGGACGAACTGGTTGGGATAGGCATGGCGAGAGGCATACAGGTGAAGACAGCGCCGGTCTGCTCGATGTTGAAGCCATGATTGGTGCGGAAGACCAGCGGGATGGAGCCGAATTGCAGGTACAGCACCGCCCAGCTGAACGAGACCCAGAGCGAGAAGAAGAAGACGACCGGTTCGCTGACCAGCATATCTGTTCGCCAGCGTTAGCACCACAGGACATTCTGTTCCGAACCAGAGACGACAAGGGCAACGTACGAAATGGCCGATACACCGAGACCCCGATCATCTTGACCAGCGACACACGCTCCTCGTCACTCCTGACCCGCCAGCGAATCCGCCGGGCCTTCCCCTCCTCCAGCATCACCCCGAAGTGGCCCGCCGCCTCCAGCTGCTCGTAGTACCGGTTGATCGCCTGCGCCTTCCGACTCAGCAGCACGCTGCCGCGCGTCTCCTTGAAGAAACAGAAGATCACCACCACGAAGAAGGCCGCCACGATCGCGTGCGAGTAGTACACCCACCGCCAGGTCGTGTGGTGGACGATCGCGCTCGAGATCAGCGGGGCCAGCCCCGTGCCGAACAGCGCCGCCCCGGAGAACAGCGCCATCGGCGTGTTGCGGTCCTCCGCGTGGTAGATGTCGCTGATCACCCCGCCCACCATCGTCGAGAAGGTCGACGCCCCGATCCCCTGCAGGATCCGCGCCACGAGGAGGCCGCCGAAGATGTGGGTGCCGCCGCACGCGAGGAGGGATGCTGCGTGAGAGACGAGAGGTTAGCGGGATGAGTTGCCACTATTATAATACTGATGTAGCTTATCTCGAAAGGGAAGGGGAACCACCCACCGGTGAACAGAATCCCGCTAGCCACGAAAATCGGCCGCCGCCCGTTGATCTCCGAGAAGGGCGCCAGCACCATCGGCGCCAGGGCAAACCCGATACAGAACACGGTGATCGTCAGGTTGTAGACCACCGCGCTGACCCCCCACTCCGCCGTCAGCACGCTCGAGGCGGGACTGACCTCGCCTGCGGAGTATCCGGCCAGCGCGGTGACGGCGCAGGCGATCCAGGTCATCATCGACTTGCGCCATTTCGGCCACAGGAACGGGGAGATGTATTTCTCGAGGTTCGGCGGGTCGGGCGGGGCGGACTGGTTAGGGCCGGGCGGCAGCGTGATGCACGGGGTGGGCAGCGGCGTGTCGAGTTCGAGGTAGCGCTGTTGGATCTCCTGCGTCGAGGGGTCGAAGCCGACAGCGCCTTTTTCGTCCTCGCCGAGGTAGGCGTTGGTGGGTGTGGTTGCGCCGGTTTCGGGCAGGAAGACGGTGCCGGTGGTCGACGAGCCCGAATCGTCGAGGGGACCCCGCGGGGTGTCCGAGGGGGGACCTTGAGGCATTTGTGGTTCTTACTGTGATGATGGTCCGTATCCGAGTGCACTGGTGTATCTGAGCGTGTGCATGTGGGGAGCAGGTTAGGTTTATGTGTGTCAGCACATATGTCGTCGTCCCTCGTCACCAGACCTTTACGAGGGAGCAGGGATGTGGAAGTTATTTAAGAAAGGATGACGCCGGTGGATTTGTGGAGGAAAAGCACACAACACCAAATTGGAGAAATCTCCCCTCGGGGTGTTCTCCGAGGGCGCCAGATAATGAGGCCTGAGCTGCCCTCCGGAGTTGGCACCTCCCTCCGCATTCCTTTCCCATTTGAAGACTCATGGCGCTATACAAGTGGCCTGTTGCTGCAGGGTGTCTGGCCTCATGCTGCCAACCTATCGCACTCCCCTGTCCCGATATTCGATGCCAGATGACTTGATCGAATATCAAGGGCAGCACGAGTGTCGGCCGATACCCGCCCGCGCAAAAGCCAAAGCAGACTGCCGCACGCGCAAATTCTGTCCTGGGTTGGGGAAACCGACGTCTCCACTTTCTCCAATTCGGAGAAGCCCTTCTTTGACTCACTCGCCGTGCGGCCAATCGCATGGCTTCCTCGTGCCGGATCCCGGCTGCTGTCATTGGTCAGAGATTGCTTTCGGCACTGGTTGCGATTAGATCGGAAAAGATAAGCCGCACTCGGCTGGGCTGGGTGTACCAGCCAGCCTGAGCTCTCATCTGAATTGACTGAGCAGGGGCTTTAGCATACATAGTCATAGTGGCTCACGATCACTTACGCGCTGGTCTGTTATCTAGTGCCTCACGTATGGGAGCATCGCCAGACGGTGCAGCTTCGGTGGCATATCCTGTCCAATAGACCCGGGTGACTGTGCAGCTGCATACGTCTCTTACTTGGCAGACCGACCGTGCACGTCGATACTGTTGATGAATTGTAAGCGAGACCACTCCGTAGAAGTGGTGAGGGTTGGTGCTTACCGGGTAAGTCGGAATAAGCAAGACGCTCGGGCAACTTGAAGGCGCGCTTACGCACCATTATTGAGTCGACACCATTTGTAAGTTCTTCTCCATTTTGGGGAGAGCAAGGGGCCAGCGGTTGTCTGGAGCATGTGATCGTCGTCAGTGAAGTTCATGTTGTGCCCAAATTGTTGTTTGATTGCGCTGTATCCGTATCCGCTTCTGTGGTAAATGGCGGATTGCTGAATTCGAGAAGAACAAGAGCGGTCGGGGGGAGCGAGTATTTCCCACACGAAGGTGTTAACACCGGTTATCTTGACAAGGAAGGTTTGGCCTAAAGACTGAATAAGCCTCTACTGCAACAAGCATGTGTCTCTCATAAGTCGGGTACCTGCTACTATGCAGTTCATGGCATTTGGGAGCTTGGGTGCGGCAATGATTTCCTTCAGGTGCGTTCACTATGAAGGGACTAGCGAGGTAGAAGTGCCAGGCTAGAGATCGAGTCTGCATCAGGTACGGTAGGCTACATATTATGCGTCATGCTTATGCTTAGTTAGACAGAAGTACGCAGACACCATAGAAACAGAGCAGCAGTGTGAACGCTTACTACAACGATGATCAGCAAGCAGTACTGGCTACGACGAGCAAGATCTGCTTGATCTGTTCTCCGAAACACTCTTTCAATTGTTAGTTTGTTAGCTAGCCTTTCGGAAATGGTTGGGCAGCAACAACTTGGAAACCCAGAAGAATCAAAATCAGAATCATCGCCGATTCAAGCAATGCACTCACTACCAACGTATAGCGACACCAGACAGACAAGGCAAAGGTCGGAGTACCAGCACACCCATGTTCTAGTCTTATAGAATCACTCGTCGGGGGATGGAGTGGTAGCTGACTCTGGAAAGCTGACTCCGGCGCAAAACAGAGTCAGGGGCTCGCTCGGGCCGACCCATGATCATGTTGTTTGAGACTATTAAGAAAACGGTCGCCTCACTAGTCCTGTAGGTGCTTCCAGAACCTCCAAGTCCAACCTTCGAACTGTAGCTCAAGGCCTGATATTCTGAGACAATATGCATTCATTTTAGTCACATTGCGGTGCGCGGTGGAAATGGACGACCGGACAATCCTCATCAATCAACAGCTCCCGTTTCTCCATTCCCAGACAGGGTGCGGAAAGTGAGTGAGACATTCCAACAGCAAATCATCAAACTTGCATGTCGACCTGTCGCTAGCGTGATGGTGATCATGATTTTGGGAGTTGAATGTGCTGGTCGGATTAGGTCGTGCAGCCCGGACATGAGAAACGTGTCGATAGTCGGGAGATTCTCAGACCTCGTCTCCGAACCCCGCTCGCTAGAGAATATAGACTGAAAAGTAAGACACCAGGGGGATTGACAAGGGAGAAGAGTGAAGCTTCGTACGATGAATACTCTATCTCTCTCAAGCAGCGCAGCCAGCTGCCCCTCACACAACCAAAAGGGCAGAGCTGAAAAGCCTCATATGCGAGGAAAGTAAGTATGCTGCACGTTGTTTTCATGCACCAAGCTACGGACGTCGCCGGAGTGGATTATGCATAAAAGAGACACTCTGAACTGGACGCATTGGAAAGGGCGCCGGGCGGAGATTGTCATTGTTTCACCTGATGGCCAATTTGACCCCGCCAAGACCTGCAGGACACATGAGGCCAGCGTGCGATTTTGGGGATCGCATTGTTTGTCCACGCAACTGGCAAAGACACGGGCATACTCGGTGCAGAATTAACTATCGTATTCGGATCTCATTCTAAAGGTGTGGTTCAATTCCTGGCCAGGAGGCGTTTATGCTTCTGCCTAAACAGACCATATAGCATGTCTGCTGAACATTTTCGTTGGTGTATGCAATCCAGCGGCAGCACTCTCCCCCGGCCGAATCTTCTTCAGGAAAAAGAGGGGTGGAAACCACCTCAATTGCCACTGAAGGTACTCTAACTCATCCATGATCTTCGATGTTCCGAGACAAATGTGGGGGTGGCTGTCCCGCACTCATTACCTCATAACCCCCTTGGGGGGGAAACGCGAGAATCCCCGATTTTCACGAAGACGCCCGCCAACGGTTAAGCCACCACCGGACTCATGCCAGGTGTAGATTGGACGGGCACCTATCAAGGTTCTTACATTCCGTACTGAGGAAATCGCTAGAGGCGATCCCCAATCGATCGATTGACATTCTGACAGACTATTGAATTCATCCTCACTTCCGGTCCTGAAGTCCTGCCTCGTGAGACAATCACCCGCCTCATCCAGGTCGCTGTGAAAGAACAGTGGCCGTCTCAGTGGCAGGTAGCAGTATTATTCACGAAGCTGAGAATAACCGCAGCAAAGGCAATGCTGCATGTAACCGGCTGCAACCCAGCAGCCACTTTGACTCAGGCAACCGTACCTCGGCTGCGGCTGCGAGGGGGAGGAAAACAGCCCATCGACCATCAACAATTCTCCAAATGAGACAATGTCTGTAGTGTGGGTCGGATCTCAAAGTCTTGCTAGAGCAGAAAAACGGGGACAGCGACCGGGGGTTGCTATTTCTGAAATGCCAATGGCCCTCCAAGGCCGAATGTCTCGCCCACATGGGCCGAATCCTCACCAATTAGGGCATCCCTTGGTCACGCCCCACCCGCCGCTAAATTTGGGGCTGGAGGACCCTGAATGATTCAATGAATAGTACGGACTGGCTGAGAGACAATGACAGCATAGAACCTGATTGCAGCTGCAGGAAATAATGAGAAATAATGACTGGCTGTACTGGGTTGGACAAGGTGGTCATGGCTTCACAGCTGTTCTGGAAGGTATAAAGGGCCCGTCTATCCGGCTCCTCGTTCCCTTCTCATCATCAACATCATCAACACTTCCACTGCACTGCACAACCACATTACCCTCTAATCAGTTCTAATCCAACCCCAATCACCACCATGCAGCTCAAGAACATCGTCCTCGCCGCCTCGGCCGCTGCCACCGCCGCCGCTCTCCCGGCCACCGACGCCTCCTCCCAGAGCCAGACCTTCGGCATCGTCTCCATCCACTCCGGCAGCGCCGTGCAGTACCAACCCTTCACCGCGGCCAAGAGCAGCCTCTTCGCCGGCCTCCCCAGCCAGAACGCCAGCTGCGCCCGCCCCAAGGAGCAGACCGCCACCTTCTACATCCAGGACGGCGCTCTGTACCTGTACGACCAGTCCGCCACTCCCCAGGAGTTCTACGTCGACCGCTCGGGCATGGGTACGTCCTCTTGCTCTCTTTTTGCCGGACTTCATAGACCCCCCCCCCTCCCACCCTTCACCAATACTGACAGCTATGCGTATCAGGCCAGGGTAAGATCGGCTACACGACCGGCGCCCAGCCCGCCCCCGAGAACGCGGAGCGCCAGGGCTGGTCCATCGACAAGAACAACCACCTGCAGTTCGGCAGCAGGGACCTCATCGCCTGCCCCAACAGCATCGACGGCGCCTGGAGCATCTGGGCCAGCGCCGGCGTGAGCAACCCCGCCGGCAACAGCGACTGCGTCGGCATCGCCGCCCGCGTCGAGACCACCACCAACCCCAACGGCTGCCTGTACACCGAGTAAATGCTGCATGCAGCTGAGAATCATGACAGCCTCCGGTCTGGACGCGGTTGATCCAAGGAAATCGGGCTGTTTGAGATAGTTCGGTATATGTTCGTGACCGGGCATTGTCATACTGCTTTTTATGTATCGGTGGGAGAAAAGTGGAGGAAGGTGGATGGTATTGACAATTTGTAATTGCGATAGGGTCTGAGTTCTGGTTAACTGCAATATACTCCCTCCACATCATCTTTTTCTTGGATAGTAGTGCATGAGGTGTAGTTTCCTATTTTATCGGATTTAATCAGATCCCTTGGAAAAACTGTCAGCTCAACCCATGAACCCCAACCCCGTCGCAATGTTCGTCCTCAGCTCCCGAACCGCAACTTCCACCATCTCCCTCTTCTTACCATCGAAATCACCAAACGGAGAACCCTACTCGCACCCTCCGGCCCCAGAATCGTCCGCACAGCGAAATACTCCACCCCAAGCTCCTCCGCAGTCTCTCTTCCCCCTTTAATACCAGGTAAACACACAAAAGCCTCCCCAGTGACATCCTCCCACCGCAACCCGGCCAGCACAGCCTTGACAAACTGGAATCCCGCATACGCCATGCACGTCGTGGCGCTCCCGGCTCCCTGCTTGCTCGTGACAGTCTCATCACCGCCGAATTGCACCCCTAATTGTTGGTAACAGAATTAGTATTCAGGTGTTTTCTCCCACTAATGCTTTGGAAAAGATAGGAAAGACAAACGATGCACAAGACCAGCAAGAATTGCCTCCTCGGCGTAGATAGGCGGTTGCGCCTGGCTGTACAGCGGCACGAACGTCGCGCCGCTGTGCCCTCCTACCACAAGGACGCGGGGACGCGTTGGGTCAGTGTCCAATGCCTGGCCGGCGAAGGCACCGCGTCGAGGGCTGTCACGCCGAACAGCCGCGCGGGCTGGAGGACCCCAGCCTGTTGCAGGGTCGCGACAGCGATGGGGACGGTGTAGTTGACCGGGCTGGTTGATGACGATGCAGGCGATGGCTGCGGGGCAGGTAGTGGCGATTTCGGTGAAGATGTCGCGGATGATGGACGCGTGGGTCTGGGCAGCCAAAGGTTAGTGGGGCCCCGGCTGATTGTGTGGACTGCGACTCCCTAGTGCGATCCTTGAAGAGATCTTATGTACTTGCAGCTCCGTGGAAGGCGGTTGATGAATTCTGCGTCGAAGGCGCCTGCTACCTGCTTGATGTTAGAGAACTGTGCTTCGGGTGCACGGGGGATAGATGCTGTGGTGGGTGGGGCGTACGGCCCCGCTGGCTGAGGTGCAGTAGATGGCGAATATGTTCTTGTATTTCGTCTGCAGGGCGTGGAAGAACTCCGTTCTGCTTTCGCTGGTGATCACTCCTGTGTGGGCTACGTCTTGGAGCTTGGCGTAGATGGGTTGGGCGTGGCGGATGGCGTTGAAGAAGAGGATGAAAGGTTTAGAAGGCGACATTTTCTTGGGTAGGGATGAGGGATGATTTGACTCTGGGATTTTGTTGCAAAGGTTTGAATTGGAACCTGGAACCAGTGTGGTGATTTGTGCTTTACTGACAGTAGATCACAGTAGATTACTAGACAGCTGCAAGTGGTTAAGCTTATCTACATGCTGCAGCCAAAGCGACGTGGAAAATTAGGGCAATCGTTCTGCCGCCAGGATAGCGTTGGGGATGGTACAGGTAAAGGTTTCGGCGCAATTCATCCACCACCTGCTCACGGTGGGCCTGAAACGCAGTCTGTATGTCTATTTGGAGTAAAGAGATTTATGCTAGTCAAAGACATTGTGTCTTTCTTTTTGTATTCGTATCTGAGTATATACCCGCCAGCCCCTTCAGGCTAAACGGCTGTCACCAAGGAAACCGCTACTGCATCCAACAGCAACATAACATCCCCCCTCCCTTCTTTGATACCACAAGCCTACTACTCACTGTCAGGAATACCAACCAACTCCGCCTCATTCCGTGGAATCGTCCGCAACCACCGGAACAGCAGCTCGGCATCATGGATCCGATGCAGCGTGTCGCGCCCGGGGGCGAGCTGCACATAGAAGTAATTTGGCTCGGGTGGCTGGCAATTCGGGGACACAATGCGTTCACGGTAAAGACGCATCCAGTCGCCGGCGTAGATGATGCCGTACAAGGGCTTGGCCTGCGGGTGGTAGAACCGCAGCCGCCGGAACTCGGCGAGCAGGGCGCACAGCGGCTCCGATTCCCACGGGATGACGGAGAGAGCGGGTTCGCGCACCGTTACCACAGTCAGCGTGGTCGCGAGGTTGAGGCGGATGAAGGCAACCTCATAACTGGGAAAAGGGTTGGTGATGAGGTGCATGTCTCTCGTGGAGAGGGTGAAGCTAGTGGGGCGGGGGTCTGGACGGGTAGCCATGTTCATGCGCCGAGGTGGGTGGGGTGGAGTTGGTACGGGTTTGGCCATTGTTTTGGCCGGATCCATGGGGAATGGCGGTTGGAATTGGTTGTACAAAGGGTCAAGATGAGGTTATATACAGAGTTGTGGGCAAGTGTGTCTTTGTGTTTGTGTCGGTGGGTTCAGAGGAGACTGTGACATCTGCTATGTTTTAATTGACAGTCACCCTTAGTGGAGCTTTCGAACATCATCATAAGAGGGTGTGGTATTGTACTCTGTGAAAGACTTTTATGGAGACTTTCAGCTGAGACTAGAAGGGAATCTGTCTGCACCTCAGGCATTGTGCAGTAACACACATCTAGAAAGATATCTCACTCTACTTGGTTATAAATATCCGAGGCTTTCACCTATGATGTCAAGACCTACCTTCAAAGCTAGGTCAATCAATATATTAAAGATTAGGATGGGGATATTTCCCGTTTCTTTAGGGCTGATTGTCCGCTTGTTATACAATGTTCGTTATTGACTTTCAATCAAACGGATTTTGCCGGAGATCTGCAGCCGGAGACCTCAAAAAGATCGTGAGTGTAATGCAATAGATGATGGATACGATAGTGAGCATTTTATTGGAGTGGGACCTTCTAGCTCAGCATGGAAGCAGCGTGGTCTGTGCCTAGGATATCAGTAGAGAGTGTAAATGTTTGAAGCAGTAGAAAGACCAAAGTAAACTCTTTACTTTTGATTGTATTTGAGCTAATGAATGCGGACTTTGATGTGTTCTATATGAGAATACATGTATACTGTTGGAGGCATGATAGGTTTGGACTGATTATGAACAAAAAGACATACCGTTAAGGTCACTCCTGCTGAAGAGATCTGGTTGTCAAGCCAAAACCTACGTCAAATCTAGATCATACATGACTAACTAGATTTATAAGCATGAGACGAAATTAGGAAGTAATGATAAAGATCACTGATCAAAGGCTCGACGAGGTATGTTACATGTACACTTCAATAACTAATAATTTACAATTAGCAATATCCTCCATAGTTGGTATCCACTCTTTTCTCAGGTAACACAATCGTCTTTGATTTTTTTCAGTTAGTAATATGTGGAGATCCTTATCTACGACGCTCTTTATTTAATGGCTGAAATCCTTATTTAGGAGGGGACTGGCCAGAATCAACGGCAACAGCCCTATGCCCTGTGATAGTATCCAGCTTTGTGGACAGACTTGGAATTGTCTGGCTATAGGAGAATATCGAAAGCTATACCGCTCCATTCTACTACGTTTCCCTCGTATCTCCTTTGTCTCCATGAAGCTTGATGGCTACGTAAAGGCATTCTGAAACGCTCCGAAAGACTTTCTTTGCCGTCGTATATCATCACAAACCTCATATCCAGGGGCGGACTGCCATCAAAGAAAGTCGCACAAAGTTTAGGATATCTCCACTAAGTCGAGCGCCGGCAAAGAACTTTCTCCATAAGAGCCACAAAGAAATCGCCCTGAAGCCCAGCTCACTGAAAGCCCATTCCATGCTATAAATAGTCCAAGACCATCTATGATTAGGAACCATCCACCCCCCCATCCTCACAACACCCATGACTACCACACCTACAAGCACCTTTGTAGACCGGAAGCCCTTACCCGCAGCCATGAAGTTCCCCCGAATTGTTGTTGAGGGCAACCTTGTCATCAATGGCAACGTGTACATAGGGGTCCCAGTCTGCCCCTCCGGGGATGCATCTGGGTCTGAGGATGCGAGCTCATCGGACACCTCCTCGGAGCACTCTACCTCTTCCCGACCGCAATGCACTTGTACCTCGTCGGTGTGTACCTCGTGCACCCCGTCTGAGGGCAGCAGCACCGTGGAGTGCGAGTATTGTACCTGTAGCTGTCCCCAGCCTCACTATCATGGCGACGGCTCCTCGAGCACCTCTTCGGGCACCTTGGGGTCGCAGGACAATGTACCCCGGTTCTTCAACTGGACTCCTATACCAGTTCCGCGGGCCCGCGCGACGCCCGAGGTCTCCACGGCCCTCCTCTTCGAGGCCGAGGATCTCCTCGACCTTCACCCCGAGGGTCCACCGTGCCCCGAGGCCTCACCAGCCCCGGAAGCAGGCCCAGCGAGCCCGTCACCCCGGCTCGGCCCCCTCTCCCGCGGGCTCACAAGTCACGAACTCCGCACACAGCCCGCCCCTATCGAGCAACCGTTCGAGCTCTACCACGCCCACGTGAGCACCACGACCTTCGTTGTGCTCATCGTGTGGACGAGCGCGACCCCCATCGACTGGCAGGGCGAGCCGCTGCGCGTCATGCAGCACGAATTCCATTGCCTGCGGGCCCTCAACCACACGGCCCAGGTCCTCCACGGGGTCATCAAGGCCGGCAAGGAGATCTGCCTGTACCGCGAGGCCGGCAACGGCGAGGTCGACCAGTTCACCCACAACGGCCGCTCCCACTTCCACGAGGAGGACGACCTGTTTATGCTCCGCCAGTGGCGCGACCGCGTCCCGCGCGAGAAGATCGAGGGGGTCAGCGACACGGACTCCGATGTCTCGTCGCCCTACCGGCCGCGCTTATCCTCCAGCAAGTTCTTGAATATTCGGGAGGAGGATCAGGATCCGCGGTAGATTGGGTTGGGGTTGAGGATGGGGTTTTGCCGGGTGGTCTCTGGCTAAGCTGAAAACAGAAAAATAAAAACGGCCCTGAGAAGGGTTTATTCAATGATATTATGTGGTTCTCTGTAGATTTGTTTTCTAATTTGTAATCTGTTGTTGCTGTCGGGGTGTCAGTAAGCCTGAAAGCTGATCCAAGCGCTAATATATTCTTGACCTAGGTAGGCAGTTTTTGAAAGATAGGGCTATGCCTACACACCCCAGCTAGCTAAACTTACAACTCAGCGCCCTAACTCCAAGTTCGCTGCGAAATCGACAATTGGAGTATCAAACAGCTTTTTTTACAACTCGCGACATTATAGAGACTACGCCCGATACTAACAAATCGGTGAGTCAACCATGTGTTCTATATTGTGGCCTTCAATGAGTACGTAAAGCTCTGGACAAGCTGTGACCTAGCAGACCCGGGTACTCTTCGCATCCACTCCTGAAGCCCTAAGTCAGTAAAGAACCCAAACCACGCCGCTGTCCCAATATCCAAACAACCAACCCCTGTCCACTCCCAAGCAGCAAGCAGATGCAAGCTTCGACCTAATGCACCAACGAGCCCGACAGAACGTGGCCGCCTGCTGGCCTTCTCACTATCGAAACTCAATTTGATCGACCATTACCTGCGCCCCACCGTCCATTACAGTCTGTATTCTGACTGGCGCACAGAATCTTTCCTGTCCGCTGCCCGCCAAGACTGTCCTTAGCACGCAACACATGGTCTGGCTGCAGTCGTGAGCGCTGCCCAGAGATTTAGGATTTATTCTACTCCAGCGGTCATGCAAGGGTTACACGGGGTTAGGACTCGAGACGAAGGCACGTCGAGAGTTCGCGCTAGGTGGAATAAACTCTGCAGCATGCAGCATCCCTGCTAGTTTGTCTGCGGCGTTTATCTTCAGAACAAGCTCTCTGGACATCAGAATTTGATTTTTTTTCCATTGCCTTTGTGCACACACAGATAAATCGTACAAACCCTGCACCGAGCGAGAGGGTCAACCCCACTGAGCAGCAAGAAACCACTCCAGCCGATATGAACGACACCGCAGACATCCGGCCGAAACAAACCTTCCCGAGAAGCACAACACAGAGAAAACCCCCCGGAAGAGGGCGGGAACGAGCCAGGGCAGAGGATTCTTTGGTGTGGTTGACCGTAGGCGAGATCGCATCCACACCGACCCCAACAATCCATACTGCTTTCAGTGTAGCCGCCCCGCCGGATAGATTAAACTAGTGCTGACGGCGCGGACCGGACTGCACAGACTTGATTAAGGGTGCAATTATGGTCTCCTCCGCTCGTGCTGTAGTGTGCGCTGCATATTACAGAAAGAAAAAAAGATGAAAAGGGATAAAAAATTCGTATGGTGAAAAGTATGTACACGAAAGAAAAGAAACCGTCCTCGGTCGAGGACCATGCATGCTCCAGGCCAGCCTAGCGCAACCAACTCTCCCCCGGCGCATGCGGCGTCGTCCTCCCTGCGGCCTCGACATCACTATGCGCGCTACTCCGCGTCTCATGCGTGATCTCGATCTGGTTGGAGACGACGATCGCCCCGCTATCAGCACCTGGATGGGGTGAAACCGGCGCAGGGTACGCCTTGAGCGCCTGCATTTTCACATCGTCCATCATGCGCTCCTCGCTCTCGGTGAACGTCAGCCCGATCGTGATCGGATCCGAGGCTTTGCCGCGGTTGCGGCTCGAGGAGCCGCCTGGGCCACCTCCGCCACCCCCGATGGTTTGAAAGCCGGACGGGCTCTTGTAGCTCTTCTGCGAGGACTGGAAGGCGCTGCCGAAGGCGCGCGCCAGCCAGGTACGCAGCAGGTGGAAGACCATCGGGAGGTTCGTGGTGATCACCGCCGCGAAGGTCTCGCGCGTGCCCCATTCTTCGGCTAGGGAGGCGCCGTTGTCTTGTTCCTGGGCGGGAGTTAGGGTTCCCGGGAGGCTTGGAGTAAGGACGGAGTAAGACTCACCACTATGATGAAGACGGCCTTGAGGGTCGCGCAGACGAGAATGAAGATTCCCGCGCTCAGGATGACGGTCGCCGCGATCTTTTTGATGACTTTCAGGCTGGAACCCCACAACATGGGGATCGGGAGGAGGATCAGGTACGGGTCGGTGAGGAGGTTGGAGGCGAATGTTATGGCGACGACGGGCATGGAAATAGCGGGTTGACAGACGTCTGATCGTCGTTGTCAGTAGGTTTATTTCTGATTGAACGAGGTAGGACTTACTGCCGGGATCGGGGTAGATTTGCCAATTCTTGTGAAATGGGCGGCATGACGCGAGGACTGTGATGATGCTGGCGAGAAAACTTCCAACCACCAGCACGAACCCAATGTAGATGGGAATGCGATACTGCCGACCGAGGCCGTTCTGTGTCATTCACATTAGTTGGGATCGCAGACCAGGGTAACAGGTGTGGTGCTCACCATCAACCGTGTATAGAAGGCTAGCATGGACAACTTGAGAAAGCTGATCAATGCCGAATAGGTGGCCCAACCCGCCAGTTGGATCTTCGAGCCGATCACCCTAACATGACAGATCAGTGAACCGTGCAGCATAGACGTGGATCGACCGACAAACCTGGCATGATACTCGGGACTTTCTGGCGACAACGTTGCCCGTTGAGCGTCGGTCATGCTGTTGTTGGCCAAACCATGGGCCACCGCGCCCACGTTGTAGGCCAGAGAGACCTGCGCCGTGTAGAACAACTGCAACCCATGTCAGCTTTTTTATTCAGTCCAGCAGAAAGGATTGTACGCACAATCCCAACCCACACGAGATAATCATCCAGGCGCAAATGCCTCCAGCCCACGACTCTAGCCTGCGACCAGGTCCGCAGCATCGTCACGGCCACGCCGATGGCGTACATGGTCCAGAGCTGGACGTTGGTGTTGTAGGCCGCCTTGGAGGCGGCATCCCGCGCCTCCAGAAAATTCCACATATCCTGTGGCGGAGTTCGATCTACAATGCGAACAAGATCTGTAAGGTACTGGGGGGATATGACAGGGCAAACGTCTCCATTTGTTCTGGGAGTGGACTAGAGAAGCGCGATCTGTTGAGTATAAGAACGGATGTGGATGTTGTCGTGCAGCAGCATTGCACAAGCCGAGTGTGTGGTTCGGAGTTTGGATTCGGCTATTGGATCACGAAACTCAGGAACACCTGGTGGCAAATGTAACGTGGATGCGCTGTCCTATTTTTGAGTCGCCAGGTACGCACAAGAACGACCTGAACTCCGTGTGGACGGCCACTTCGCTGCGAGGGCATACATCTGGCCAGTGCTTGCACTCTATCCTGTGCCTGGCTGAATTACAACTGAGAAGTATTATGCAGTGATTGGCCGTGTTCCAGTGGCGGGTATCAAAGTTTGAGGATGAAGAGGATGAAGTCTATAACCTGGAAATTGGAGTTTTATTCAGTGGCGCATATTAATAAAGGCCAGAACAGACCTCGGTTGGAGGCACAAGCACAAGGTTAAATCACGGAGAATCCAGCGCCCCACCCAAAATTAGATAAGGTGTCCACCCATTAGTCCTGAAGAAGCAAGTGATCGACCAGTTCCGCAGCCTTCCGTCATCCCCGAGGGGATTTGTTCCATGGCTGGATGGTGAGTGTGGAGCATGCCATTCCCCCATTCAGCTCGATGGTCAGTTAGGGCCACCACCACATCAGGGCTTCCATCCACCCCCCATCCACCACCACCCCATCAGCAACTTTTCAGCCTAATCCTGGTTATTGGGGAGTTACACACTCAGATATATCTCCGGTGTTACTCCAGGAACCTGGATCATATGACTGAATCCCAGTCAGGAACACAATCCTGAGTCGAATCCCAATTTTGGTCGAGTGGAGCCTGGCTGCCACGAATATTAGAAATAAACTCGTCTCGCCCCCCGGGGAGGATTCTCTACAGCGACGATCGTCAACACCCGTCGCCCGTTGTCATCTTTGCTTGTTCTCCTTCTCCCTTGGCTTGCCATCCGGTATCTGCACACAATGTATCGGTTCAAGCTGGAATTCGCGACGGTTGTCGCCACGTGGGCGCTGTCGGCAGTCTGTCATTCCCTGCCTCGTGCGGCCGATGGGTCGGAGGGGGCTTGCCACTCAGGCGATGCCGACTTCAAGGCTCTCGGAGCCAAGCTGTCGAGCACCGCGCAGGTCTACTGCCCGGGCTCCAGTGAATTCACCAATGTGACCACTCGCTGGTCGGTGCTCGAGGAGCCCGAGGTGAACATTGTCTTTGTGCCAGGCACGGAGAATGATGTTGCCGAGATCGTATGCCCGTCTTAGTCCACGGCTATCAGGATGACATACTGACCAAGACGATGTATAGGTGCAATATGCCAACAAGAAGGAAATCCCCTTCCTGACCTACAATGGCGTCCACGGGGCCCTCACCTCGCTAGGCAAGATGGACTATGGGATCGCCATCTACATGGGCCAGCTGAGCAGCGTCCAGGTCGCCGCTGATGGCCGGACCGCGATCTTCGGTGGCGGCACCATGTCCAAGATTGTGACGGATGAGCTGTGGGCCGCCGGCAAGCAGACAGTGACTGGCACTTGCGAATGTGTCAGTCTCCTGGGCCCCGCTCTCGGAGGTGGCCATGGCTGGCTGCAGGGCCACCATGGCCTCGTCGCCGACCAGTTCGTCTCGATGAACATCGTGCTGGCCAACGGCACGCTGACCACCATCGACGAGACCTCCGACCTCTGGTGGGCCGTCAAGGGCGCGGGCCACAACTTCGGGATCGTCACCTCGCTGACCTCGAAGATTTACGACATCGAGCACCGCGACTGGGCCATCGAGACCATCATCTTCAGCGGCGACCAGGTCGAGGCCGTCTACCAGGCGACAAACGACTACCTCTTGAAGAACGGCACACAGCCTGAGGGCGTGATTAACTGGTCCTACTGGATGAACAATGCCGACGCGGACCCGAACAACGTACGTCCCTCCCCATTCCACTCACCCAACCTCCAAACTAACCCTCCTCAAGCCCGTCATCGTCTTCTACCTCATCCAAGAAGGCGTCACCGCCGTCGACTCCACCTACAGCGCTCCCTTCCACGCGCTGGGCCCCATCTCCGTGACCCCCGCCAACGGCACCTACAAGGACCTGGCCGGCTGGACCAGCATTGCCGTCGACTCCCCGCCCTGCCAGAAGATGGGCATGGCCAACCCGCGCTTCCCAATCTACCTCGAGGCGTACGACGTGGCAGCCCAGAAGCAAGCCTGGGACGTCTACGCGGATGCCACGCGCGGCGCCTCCCCGTTCAACAACTCCATCTTCATGTTCGAGGGCTACTCCGCGCAGGGCGTGCACGCCGTCGACAGCGCCTCCAGCGCCTTCGCCTTCCGGACCGAGAACCTCCTCGCCGCCCCGATGATCAACTACTTCCCCGACGGGGACGAGCTGGACCAGAAGGCCAACAGCCTGGGTCAGCAGCTCCGCGAGATCCTGTTCAACGCGACTGGCCGCCCGGAGATCCGCGCGTATGTTAACTATGCGTATGGCACGGAGTCTCCGCGGGAGTTGTACGGGAGTGAGGACTGGCGGCAGCAGCGGTTGCAGGCGTTGAAGCAGAAGTATGATCCCACCGGAAAGTTTAGCTTTTATGCGCCTGTTGCGTGAGGGGTTCGGCGGGGATGGAGGCTGTCTGTAATTGCTGTACTGGTGCAAGAGAGAGTTGAGTAATGTATATAAAGAACACACATACATAGATGTATAGAGTTAATCTGCTTCACGGCTCATGTTGTAATTTGCTTGGTGGTTGGTCGGCCCTAGAACGTCAATCTCCTTGCGCATCCCTCGTATCACTTCAGAAGGCTGTGATTATAAGTAATATAGGGATGATCTCGCCATCCAATCGGTCGGAATTCACTGAAGGAAATCACAATCAGCCATTCTGCAGATCAGGACCCGATGGTTAATGGTCAGCCCTCCTCACTGCCGATCCAGAAATCCCTGCTTCCTTGACTCAGAACGAACGACTGGACCGTGCAGCATCTTCAGCTCCATCCGACTTATGCAGCAGCTATATTGGCAATTTCACCGCGCAGCTGAGATACACTACATACGAAACCATGTGACCGAAGCCCATCGACATGATTGCTTTTCCGTTCGCGCATTCATTCCCGATAGCCTCGTATCGGCAACTGCAGGTCTCCGGCATTCCTCGAATTATGACCCGATACGGCGGAATGCGCTGCATGAAGATGCATTTCTCATTTCTGCATTCGGCAGCGATCGGCGAATTGTGATTGTTGATGGGTGGGTGACCTGTCTCGTGCATGTCGATTATTGTTTTGCCGGGCTCACTTCGCCCCTTGTTCAGCTCCTGCTCATCTGCAAGGGTGTTTGTCTTCTTAGGGCTTGGAAGCCGAGCTGACTTCGGGGGTGAGACTGCACCAGGAGAAACAAAACAATTCTACTTCGCAACTTTCCTTCCTTCTCCATTATTCTCTCTGATCATGAGACGAGACACGCTGTCACACTCACGACCATGTCGACGACGAAAGACGAGCTCGACACTCCCCCCACACGCGAACTCGCCTCCAGCCATGCCACGGACGCAGTCGAGTCCGACCCTTCCGATTCTCCTCCCGTCTGGAAGCCGAGAAAGGGCCAGTGGCTGATCTTCGGCTGCCTGGCGCTGCTCTCCTTCATCATCTCGCTGGACACCACGGTCATCACGCCGGCCATCCCGGTACCTGCCCCCGTCCACACCCACAGGCGATCCCGCTAATACCCTCAGGTCTTGGAACAATCCCTGAAGGGCGACACAGTCCAAGCCTTCTGGGCGGGCACCTCCTACCTCCTCACCAGCGCCGTCTGCCAGCCGTTCATCGTGGACCTATCCGATGTCTTTGGCCGCCGGGAGGTCCTCTTCGGGGTCGTCAGCCTCTTCACGCTGGGCACGATCCTCTCGGCCGTCGCCCACGACTTCCACCTGTTCCTGGCGGGACGGTCGCTGCAAGGCATCGGCGGCGGCGGGATCATGGCCAGCTGCATCGTGATCACGACGGACATCGTGCCGCTGCGGCAGCGGCCGACTTACTACGCGATCGTGCAGATGGCGTGGGCGATCGGGACATTGGCGGGGCCCGTCGTGGGCGGCGCCATCGCCCAGAAGATCCCCTGGCGGTGGATCTTCTACATCAACCTGCCGTTCTGCGGCCTGGGGCTGGTCATGGTCCCGCTGACGGTGCGGCTGCGCGCCGAGCGGCCGAGCATCCTGCAGCGGCTGGGGTGCATCGACTGGGTCGGCGGGGTGCTGTTCATCGGCAGTCTGTGCAGCTTTCTGATCGGCATCACCTGGGGCGGGAACCAGTTCCGCTGGGATAGCTGGCGCACGATCGTGCCCATCGTTGTGGGCGGGGTGGGCTGCGTGGTGGCCCTGCTGTGGGAGGCGTACGGCGCGAGACGCCCGTTCATCCATCTCCAGCTGTTCGCGAGTGTCTCCGCCGTGCTGGCGTATCTCTGCGCTTGTTTGCAGGGTGCTCTTGTTCGTGGCCCTGGTCCCCCCCCCCCCACCTCATTGAGTAGTATACTGACTGATCCCCCGCAACAGATGCTAGGCCTCCTCTACTTCATCCCCCTCTGCCTCCAGACGGTCAAACACTTCTCCCCGATCACCAGCGGCCTCGCCCTGATGGTCATCCTCGGGGTGATGCTGCCCGCCAGCGTCGTGACCGGCGCCCTGCTCACGCGCCTCGGCACCTACCGCTGGGCCATCTGGTCCGGCTGGCTGCTCTGCACCCTCGCCATCGCCCTGCTCACCCTCCTCGACACCAAGATCTCGGCCGTGCGCTGGGTCTTCATCTTCCTCACCCTCGGCACGGGTCAAGGACTGATCCTGACCTCGCAGAACTTCGCCGTCCAGGCACTAGCGAAAGATAACCGCGATGCGTCGGCGGCGGGGCTGTACACGTTCATGCGGTCGCTGGGGATGTGCATTGGCGTTGCGGTGGCGGGGACGTTCTTTCAGAATCGGTTGGCGGAGAGGCTGGGGAACGCTGGGTTGGATAGGCAGGTTGCGCGGATGGCGGCGGAGTTTGCGTTGGTCTTGAGGAGTAAGGAGGGTGGGTTGGCGGAGAGGGTTAAGGCGGCGTATGTTGGTGTGTTTCGTGAGGCGTTTCGCGATCTCTGGATCTTCTTTGCGGCTGTCTCGGGGTTGAGCTTCTTGCTGGCGCTGGGGATCGGGCATGCCAGTATGGATCGGGCGTTGGAGTCGGAGCATACGCTTGTTGGTGAGCGGGGGGAGGTGGAGGTGCAGGTGCAGGGAGAGGGGGAGAAGACGGGGGTTTGATATCATTGGGGATGTTGATGGGCTACAAAGGGTATGAGGGTAAGATTTCAAAAGGATGGAACCGTATATTCAGGATTCATCAGGGTTGGGTTTTGCTTGCCCTACTTCAATGCCCTCTGAAGTCCAGCATGCGACAGTCATATAGGTCTTACTCGAGCTGGGTATCGTACCGTGAGAGAGTACATGCTTCATTGACAATGAGTCCGCCAAAGGGCGCAAGAATATTCAAGAGACAATATTCTCCATCCAGAACCCATATTCGATGGTAACAGATGGCGCGTCGTGATCTCGGACATCTGCCGATTGCCCTCCGGTCGACATCATCTACCTGCAGCATTGCGTGCTCCGATCTTATCTATCGGCCGACTGAGGGCAGAACACAGTATAATTCGTATCTAAATCAAGCGCTAGTCTTCCCGCATCGCTTGGCAGATGCGATAACCCTGACGTCGCGATTAAATTGGGTCCTGACGTGCTTTCATCACTTCACTGACACACTTTATATAGCAGCGCCAGCTGCAATGGATAGACATGTCTTGTGGAGTAGAACAACGACAACGCAACCATGGATTTCACCCGGTTGGTAGCATTCTACCGCTCCTGTCTCTTCCAGATCATCATCGTGGGCCTGGTCGCATTCTGCGAGCCGGGTATCTGGACTGCTTTGAACAATCTTGGAGCGGGGGGGAATGCTAGTGTACGTTCTCTTGTCTTCTTCTGGAGGGGTTGTTGCTGACCCAAATCCAGCCCTTCCTCAACAACGCCGCCAATGCCCTAACATACGGCCTGATGTCCGTGGGCTGCTGCCTCGCCGGCGGCGTCACCAACAAAATCACCGCCAAATGGACCCTCTTCATCGGCGCCGCCTTCTACACCCCGTACGCCGCGGCACTGTACTGCAACAACCGCTACGGCAACGAGTGGTTCCTGCTCCTCGGGGCTGCGCTGTGTGGCGTCGGAGCCTCGCTTCTGTGGGCAAGTGAAGCTGCCATCGCAGTCGGCTACCCCGAAGAAGAGAAACGAGGACGGTACATCACCCTTCCCTCTTCCCCCAACCACCGCATCGACTAATACTCCCGGTAGATACGTGGGAATCTGGATGGGAATCCGGCAGATGGGCCCCCTAGTTGGCGGGGCGATCTCCCTCGCGCTGAACATCAACACCGCCCACGCCGGCAAGGTGACCTACACCACCTACCTAGGGCTGGTCGCCATCTCGTCGCTGGGTGCGCCTTTCGCACTGCTCCTCTCGCAGCCCCAGCAGGTAGTCCGCAGCAACGGCACCCCGATCCCCTACATGCGGCGCACAAGCCTGAAGATCGAAGCCCGCGCCATCTGGAAGCAGCTGCACAATAAGTATATGCTCCTGCTGATCCCGATCTTCCTGGCTGGACAGTTCGGGACAACCTACCAGGGCAACTATCTCACCAGTACGCCTTTCTCCATTTCCCCCCTTCCCCTCTCCTATAAAAGCGACATACTGACGTCAGAAAAGCATACTTCACCGTCCGCTCCCGCGCCCTAGCCTCCTTCCTAACTGCCGTCGTCGGCGCCGCCGCCAACCTCCTGACGGGCTTCATCCTCGACCTGCCCTCCTTGTCCCGCCAAGCCCGCTCCAGAGGCGTCTACATCTTTGTGTTAGTCTTTGTCACGGCAGCCTGGACCTGGAACGCGATCGTGCAGACCCGCCTGGCGCGCATGGTCGACCCGCCCACTTTCGATCTGGGCGACGGGGCCTTCTTCAACTCCGCCTTCACGGTGTACATGTTCTTCAAGTTCTTCTACGAGGGGCTGCAGACGTATGTCTACTGGCTGATGGCGGAGATCAAGGGCGCGAGCGAGGACGGGGACGTCGCGCGCACGACGGGCATCCTGCGCTCGTGGGAGTCGATTGGCAGCACCATTGCTTACGCGGTGGGCGCGACGCATTGGCCAAATGAGAAGCAGATGGTGCTTGGGTTTGTGCTGTGGGGGGTGACGGTGCCGTTTACGGTTTTGGCGGTGTTTGGGGAGTGGAATGTTGGTGGTGGGGAAGAGGGGGATGCGGAGGGGCAGGGAGGAAGTGGGAGGAGTAGTAGGGTTAGTGTGGAGGCCCAGGGGGTGGTGGTTGGTGTTGATGGGAAGTGCTGAGATAGTGTTCGGCAGATGCACATGGAAAGAAGGTCAGCTTGTACTAAAGTAAAATCCTAGTTACGGTCTCCGTCTGGTCTGTTCCTCAGCTCCATTGTCCAGCCTTGACTACTTCAAACTCTTCAGTGTCAAGTCCACCTCCTCCCGCACTTAAGATATGCTGAGGCGGGTATTATAGCGCCCACTCAATGCTCTTTCTACGTTCGACGGTATGTGTACACCTTGCAAACGAGATCTTTGGTGTAGAAACTAAAGCAGAGGCGGAGACTCAGAACGTGCCTGAACGAAACCCTCCTGGTTCTTGAATTTGTCGCAGGCGATCATGAAATAGGCGATTGCGATCTGGGTTTCGATAATCGCGGTGCGAATGGCTGTTTGGCTGTACGCGTCGAACCGCAGGGGCTCCGCACCATACCGTCGCAGGCTTCATCCTGTGCATCTGTCTTGACCAGAGCAAAGCTCTCGTTGAGGCCCGGCAACTGCAGAGTTGATAGTCGAGCGAGCAGTGTCCCTTCCAAATAGCCCGACACTCCGGTAGTAAGATGTTGCGGGAGGTTGCGGAGCGATAATGTAACAAGCTCTAGTGTATGCGTAAACATAGCTGTAGGGTATATTCATTCAAGTGCAGAAGAATAGGCTGACTCTGCTAGACCCTCTTGATCTTCATCGAGTCATGTTCTGTGGGCGTCGGTTAGTCAGTGGGCCCGGATGCAGGGTTTCATTCAGTCCAGGGCTTCCGAGAGGCTAAAGGATCATGGGAGGGTCCACTAGTTCATCACTTGTATACCATCCAGTAAACATCATCAATTGGTGGATAATGATCTGAGCATCTACCATGGATACCATACATATGGAGTATCCCACCTTCGAGTTCCCTGTGACGGACATACTCAAATCGCCCCCTCCAGCTAGCGCGAGACAGTTGTCTTATCGGCGGTTGACGGGGTTGACCATACAGGATAGGTTATCATATTGCTCACAGCTGGGTACACCTGTACTACGTGTGCGTCAATATCTCATCACAGTCTACAGCTTGCGCGCTAAAGCAATGCAGCTGAATCGAAGGCTCTCCACTTCTCCGTCCTTGTTCAATTGGATGATTCTCTCGATGCCCATGTCAAGTGCTCGTGGACTGAGAACGTCCTCATCATCAGCCAGACTTCCTCTCTCCAAAGGACCCATCCGCGATCCTTCCAGCTCCCAGAGCTTCCCACCGCTCTTGATGAACCCCACAAAATGGCCCCCACTGCGCCCATCGGTCGGATCTGCACAGCTGTCGCCGGCCTGCTCGACCGACTTGTGGGCCAGTTCGAATGGCTCGCTGTCGCACAGCATTTCGGCGCGATGGGTCATATCGAGCGGAATAGCGTCGCTTCGGATGGCCGCGAGATCGGACTCAGGCATGATGAAGTCGACAGCTGGACCGTTGATCAGGCAATGGAGCAGACCAACGGAGCCGCAGGCGTTACCGATGGTCTGCTTGAACCAGATGACTGGCTCGTCCGGACCAGAGCCCGTGTATAGTTCTGTATTGGCGTCTTCGGCCTTGCAACTTCGATCCCAAGCTGAGGTAAGTGGGATGATGACCAGCAGAGCCAGCGCAGGTCAAGGGATATGTGCGAGCTGTTCGGGCTGTTCGGGCTCGTCCAGGGAATAGATGTCGTAAAATTGGAGCTCGGGCGACAGACCCAGCTTGGCTGCCATTTGATTCATTACATCGGGGTTGTTTTCTGTTATTCTAATGTGATGGGGTTCTACTCCAAGACAAGGGGACTATAAAGGCTTAGGTTCCTTGCCCAGCATTGACCATGTCTTCTTCTCCATTTTGGAAAAGTCGATGTATAGATGGGAATGTTCGGAGGAAGAAAGGAGACGGTGAGGAGAGACTGTGGGACCTTACTCGACAGGGTCGCGAAATGAAAGGTTTAGATCCCAGGTAATGTGGGGAAGAAATATTTCGATGTTGATAGATGCTGTAGCCTACGGGGATGCCTGCCGCGCTTATTTTGGAGCATATTGCCCTCTGGGACCGCCTGCTGCAAGGGTCCGACTTCGCTTAGTTATTATCGAGATTGGTTCAATGATGCTACAGTGATGCTGTTCTGATTAGTTCACATCTTGGTTGAGGATAAACATTACATTAATCAGCCCTGGTTCTATTGGACGGGATTGATTATGGTATTCCCCTAGTAGAACCGGTAATTTCGCAAAGTGGCTGGAGCACAATCGTTGTATAGTTATTGCGTACTGCATTGCACTTCGCTGCACTGCGAAGATGAGGCAGCTTTGCAACTGATCACCAACAAACTGTAAACATATCCAGAACACGGTCAGCAACCCCTGGGACCGGTATCAGGAGTTCCTCTGCCGAGCTTGTGGATATCCCGTTCGAGCGGGTGGGGCTGCAACCTCTGCTTGGTAGCTTGAGAAATTATTAGACGCCAAAACACGCGATTGAATGTCAGGATGCAATCGTAGGAATCGCGAGAAGGACTAGTTCAGTATTGAATACAAGAACAAAGTTCAGAACGGAGGTTTTCTAAAAGAGGCAGGACTCGAAGTAGGGGCAAAAAGTAATGACCTACGCAGGGCTCGAACCTGCAATCTCTTGATTCGTAGTCAAGCGCCTTACCATTGGGCCAGCAGGCCAGCTGTTGACGATTGGCCCCTAGTAAGTACTCATGATGTAAAAGAGAATGCCTTCTCGTGTTTCTCCGCTTTGAGTGACCAAAGCAATAATGAAACTACGGAGCTGAAGTTCATGAAGATAGACCTTGCGTTGTGAGTGACAGCCCTGTCCACAGTATGGCTTGCGGCATCAACCCCTAAAAGCAAAACATAGCAATGCCCACTTATGTCTCTGGCTACTGATTGCCTCGTAAGTCTCATAATTCCAACAGTTTATCCTTTCCTTGATCAAACAGTTATCCATGTTGGGTGGTTCATATGGCAACTCCGACCTCGGTGAGGACGGGCGAAACCTGGATGCTGAGAACGATCCTGCTCTTTCTCATCAGCAAAATGACTCTACGAAGAATTTGCTCAGTGTAGTAGAGCGGTCTACTTACCTTAGATCCTGCCACTAACGCGGCTGTCCGCGTGGCCGAGTGTAGACACCACCGCCGCCGTTCCTAGAACGAGTGAGAGTTATCAGACTGAAGTTACACATGCAGCAATATAGGCCCATAGATACGTTGTTCCCATTCTGCCACAGAGGAAGATTTTCTTACTGGTGAGCAATACAGTACCCAGTGTTCCGCTGGGTGACAGTGCCGCAGGTACAGCCGTTGCCGTTGTTGACACTGCACCCACAATCGTACGAGGTCTTGCACATTGCGGTAGACTATTCACTTGCTGATCTTTGGGGATGAGGAACAGAGTCAGTGATGATTAGAGAATGTGCAATACCGTAGAGGACGGGATTGTGTTTGCAGAAGAAGACGGGATGTCCAGTTGAGGCGCGATATATGTAGTTCTCATCCTATCGCAAGGCTGTAGATGACATCTATCAGATGATGGCCGCCTCGTATTACAGGGCGGAGAGGATTGGTGCCCGCGGCCACAGCCAAGCTTCCTGCCCGCACCCGGGCCACGAGGCTGACCGACGGCTGCTGCCAGGTGATCGATAAGGCAGAGGGGCTGCCTGAGTTGCGAGGCTCCGTAGATTGAATGGCGCTCGTGTGTCAAGGCTGTAGCCTGGTCATTCCGGTAGCTTCGCTAGGGCAATTCCTTCGGGGGTACGGGTCATGAACCCACAGCTTGAGGGTAATTGATGCGGTAGCATTACTTTGAATTTACCATCAGACGCGTGACCGAATAGAATTCATACAAATAGGAAATCAAGAGCATTGGCTAGCTGGTATCCTCACATATGCCGGGGTAAGAACAACTAGTGGCCTAAATCTTAGAGAACAAGGTCTAGTCATATGTGGCATTACAGTTAAGTAACAAATCACTCACGTGCTGCCCTCATATAAATAGCCACGATAAGGTAAGCAACGGTGTGTGCAACACAGTTCACCTTTATGCATAGGTTAGTCTCAAATATGAGACGGAAGCATAGTATTTCATCTAGCATCTTGATGGACATTGCTAAAGCCATACCCTACATCCTGGTTCCTAGTATACACCCCCCCCAGGAAAAGAAGACGAACATGGAAGGCCATGTCCCCTACCTGGTGTACATCGTCCAAACCCATAAAGCCTCGAACACCTAAGCAACCTGACGACGACGCATGCGCTGCTCATCACGACGGCTCTTGGCCAGAGAAATCGTGAGATCGGACGACTGGCCCGCCGCGCAGACCGTACCGGGCGCCATATCCTGGGAAGGAGTCCAGACTCCGTTGGCGCAGCGCTGGAAGGAAGCACCGGCGTTGCACCACCAGGATCCCTCGGGGCTGCAGGCGCCGCTAAGAATGCCGGAGAGAGCGGTGTCAGTGGAAAAGCTGGTGGTGGCGGTGGCGGTTGCGGTCGTCGTTACGGCGTTTTGTTGGTGTCCGTTGGGCCGGCCCACAATCGTTGTCGCAGCGGGGGCGGCAGCGGTGGTGATGGCAGCGGAGTTGTCGAAAGACGAGGCCGCAACAGAGGTCTCGACGGCCACAATGGGGACTGTGGCAGTGATATCAGCAGCAGTGGTGGTTGTGGAAGTCACGGACGCAGCCGCCGTCGCAGAGCTGCCTCCCCACGCAGTGGACACCCCCGTGCAGGCGGCCGCATCCGTGGCCGCAAGACGAGAGGCCTCTCCGTCGTACTCGATCACATCACCGGGGTTGGGGAAGCGGATGTCTACGCCCTCGGTCGTGGTGCAGCCGTTGATGTTGGCCACGAAGAGGTCGGGGTAGCTGCTGCGCTTGGCGACGGAGCGCTTCTGGGCTGCGCTCCCCAGGACGGTGATGGGGGCGCAGTTCATGTACATCTCGCGGGCCCCGACGCGGTTGAACCAGGTCCACGCCAGCGTGTAGTTGCCGGCGGAGAAATCGGCTGGGATAGTGAAGTTGAACTGATAGGGGTCCGGGGTCGAGGCGTCACCGTCCAGATTGCCGTCCACGTTGGCCGGACAGCCTCCCTCGAAGGACTTGATGACCTGCCAGACTGTGTCCTTGGAGGGTTGCATGTCCGTGGTCAGACTCACCTGGCAAGAACCGCCGCCGTGGACGGCGATGCCGGTGAAGTTCAGGACCTGAGACACCCCGGTTTCGAAATAGTTCATCTCGTCCGCGGCAGGCCAGTCGTACACCCCGTCGCGTTGCTTGCAGGGGAAGTCGCTGCCATCTGCAGCCAAGGGCGAGTTGTTGAGGGTTGACTTGCCATACGGGACTGGGTGGTTCATGATCATATGTGCCTGGACCATCGAGGCCGAGAGCACCGATGCAGCAACCACGCTGGGCTTGGTGAACAACATGACGATTTCAAAGAATAGAAAGAGACAATGGCCGTAGTGGCAATGAATCAAAGCAGGTTAAATTGTCCCAGACAATTGACGCAGTGAACGAGCGAGAAGGTAAGTCGTTTGCCACAGGCACAACTTTTACAAGCGAACGTAAAGAATGACAGCAGGACTAGCCTGGAAGGAACGGAAGAACCAAGATGATTGTCGATGAACGAAGACGACACTGTTCAGAAGTTTGTCTGGTATTTATGCTCTTCGACGGCAAGATAGCCACCTTGCGCTCTTCACATTGAACCATCGGTAGTTCTTTGATATCCCAACAAGTCACGATCTGAAACCTGACATGCTCAGATCGGGAGATCCTGCAGAAGCTAAGCGAGATCATGGTTGCAGGAGGTAGCGAATCACAGATGGCATTTTGCCTTGGGTTGTCGTCACAGCAGTGGTGGCTCTGACTCGTAGTCCTTGGCTTTCCCCAGATATCCCAGATAAGAGCGATCGGGATGGGCCGAATCCTGTAACCGAGATGCCGGAACCGCCGGAGGCGTTCGCTTAGACACGCGTGGAGATTGAGGATGCCATCCTGAAACATGAAGAGTGGGTGTGAGAGAATACTTCATGATGGATCTCATTTTTACCTTGCTCTTGGGAAATACAATTTATCATCCGCCGCCCCGAGCCGCAACACAGAGCTGATGGTAGGCAACAGGAATTGCTTGGATAATGCAGATTATGAGGGCATTCACATTTCCCTAGTGCCGTCTCCACGAGATTGCCAAATCGGGATATTGTCGCTTCGGCCCGCTTTCCTGACTCGTCCCTCGATTGCCAGATCGGAAGACATGATGCTTTTTCAAGGGCTTTCATGTAATGAGGTAGTAGTAGTAGTAGTAGTAGTAGTAGTAGTAGTAGTAGTAGTAGTAGTCTGGTGCTGGGACTGACCATAAATGTGCAGTGCCAAGTGCGATGTTCCACAGTCAATGTTCCATGTTTACAATCAATTTGTTACCAATATGACCTTCCCGTACGGAACTCCCACCGTGTCCGGAGTATGCAGTACAGTACCTCTCAAAGAGACACAATGTACCATGCTTATAACATCGACAGACCTGTGCCGGTCGCGCAATGCACGGCAGATCTACTTTAGATCATATTTGACCATCGATGTTTGAGTTTTTATACGAAAACCATGTAGGTACTCCATAGCACACTTACTATTTATGACAAGGATCGGCAAGCCAGAAGACCGGAAGAACGCTTGGCATTAAGTTCATCTGCTTGGATGGAAGCTGTCACACTCAATCACCAACCAGGGGTCCCAATAGTTTCGCAAGCATCAAGCTTTGAGTGGTCTTGCAGACGGAAGTGACGTTGCCGGAGATTTCCACACCCCAAAATAGCTCACACCTCGAGTCTGCGCGTGCCGAATCTACCGCATACCTTGATCGACAGAAGGTGATGAGTCGGAGCACGAAATGTCGACTGCAGCGATGCCAGTCACTTAGCGATGAGCATCGCGATCGGCATCATATCATGAATCCTACCCAAACCTCTCTGAATTTAGGTCCCTGTGCTGTAGAACAGTCGTCATAATCGTCAGTCATGCCAGGTGCGGGCAAGCATAAATTCAAGATGCTCCCGTCTCTTCTTCAGTCTGCTCGAACTTCAAACATCATCGCTTACAATCCCCCTCCTCGACTTCCACGGCCCTGGAACCCACCGCAATGCGCATCACAGCCATCATTCCCTTTCTGGCGCTAGCCTCCCACCCACTCACAGCATGTGCTCACCGTCTAACAGGTAAATTTGTGCTGGGAGCTGGACCAATACGTCGCGATACCGGTAATCAGTACTGCTGTGTCGGTGTCGATGGCCCTGGCACCGCCGCCTACAAATACGTGGAGCAGTACAAAGACCCGAGTCCTGCCGTTGGGACCAATTGTGAGCTATACTCCTTTCCTGTGGCATTGAGTGGACTCGACGCGACAAATCTGCCGCCCGCCTCCCCATAACCCTATGTGCGCCGGCTGCTGACCCCGATGAATAAAACCAAAGGCCGCAGCCCCAAGAGTGGGCTATGCGATGACGGTGCACCCAACCTTGTCTCCTGCACGGACAGCTTTGGCGTATGAATTTGCCTCCCCGCAAACCTTGCCGAAACACCAGGAACGCCCGTGCTGACAGGGGATTTGATGTACTCTACAAATATTCGAAGTTGGTTGCACGAAACTGTGACCTGGGCAGAGCTTATAAAGGTTCGGGTTCGTCGAACACCAGCAGTCGGGGTCGAGTTGATGGGGTCTTGGTCCCACTGGTGCTGTCCAAGCATCATTTGCAGGAATTTGGTGAGATTGACGTCTCTGGCTGGATTTCCCAACGACGCCTTTTTCTTTCCACCTTGTTTCCTCGATATATATGAACCGCTTCCGTGTTCGACATCAGCGGAGAAGCGAGTAACGACAATTGCAGATCCTGGATTACTTTACCATCAGTTCAGTCCCCAAAATGAATTTCTAAAACCTATCTGTTGCATTATCGAGGGACCTGCTCTGCAAGTCCCGAGCCCTGGCCTTCTGGGGTAGTTTTATCTGTCGTTTCGGCTCGCTTTCTAGACTATACCTGGGTTCATGACAGCCTCGAATGGCGTGATTGGCGCACTGCTATTGTATTTAACGATCTGCACGCCTTGGGACCGGAAACATACAGGTCAGACGAGACCATACGGGGCCTCAGGTACATTCCAAGAGCCACGCGCCGGATCCTATTACCACCACCCATACCTCGCATTGTTGGGGGCCGGCAGTTGCAAGGGATAATCGCTGGGATATGCATGTATATTGCAGCGATCTTAAGGGTTAGCTTATCGACCTCAAGGTTAAGGTTGACCTCGTCCCATTTGCTTCTTCTATAGGTGGTGGTGTAGATCGGTCATCATAATCGCTTGCGCCAGCAAACATAGTCTGGAGACACCCACCCATTTCAACTTCTGTCGGTGTCCCCAAACCTCACGAATCTTTCACTTCACTTCCAAACAACCTTCTCAGCTCCCCAGTTTTCAGCCTATTGCGATGCGTGTTACGGCTATCCTCCCTTCCTGGCGCTAGCCTCCCACCCACTCACAGCAGTGGCTCAAACTACAGTAGAGGATCTCCTAGATACACTGGACAAATTGCTTGGGCGCGCGACTTGCAATTCAGCCAGCTAGTACTGCTGCGATTTCCTCCGAACGGGGGTATGTACCCTTAGCGAATGAGAGGGAAAGTGATGGTATCTGTTTTGTTGAGGGTGCAACAAGCAGGAACACTCATACTTCATAACCCCATACATACCCCTAGTACTTGGTACCTCACTTCTCTGATCGGAGATCGTGTGGGATCGTCATTGGTATATGAGGAGTCCGAAGACAAATACCTTATTCGAGCACCACCTGTCGATCATCGCGATGATCCTCTGTGTTATGATCAGCGTCACATCAGCTGTTCCAGCACTGATTGTCAGAAATCGAGCTCGGGTGCTGGCGATCGGTCACAAAAATCATCAACCATAGCCGTCCGTCAACGAAGATAAATTCCCAGATAATCCCCATGCGTCCCTCTCCATTCTTCCCAACACTCCATCAAGATTTCGCTTAGCTCCTCGACTCCCACCAGGACCTCGCCCACCACAATGCGTGTCACAGCTATTCTTCCCTTTCTGGCGCTAGCCTTCCACCCGCTCACGGCATTCGCTCAAGGAGGTGCCGTAGGCGATATCGTAGAGGAAATTGATGCAACACTTGCGCTCAGAGCAGAATCGAGCTGCGACCCCGACGACCTGTACTGCTGCATCTACGATGGCCCTGGCACCGACTATTATACCAAAGTGCAGGAATACACCGACCCGGGCGCTGGCGTCGGATCCAACTGTGAGCCTGCCGCGTGCCCCTGTGCCTTCCAAGTCTCACCAAGCCATTCCTTGGGGGCTGGGCACATCCCACCGGTGCAGCATGATGTTGACCCAGACAACTGAACCTAGGTGACCTCCCTGAAGAAGAAACGGGCCAATGCAACTCCAAGGCACGCACACTTGTCTGCTGCCCGGACAGCTTTGGGGTAGGGGATTCTTCACCCTCCCTGTGCTCAGAGGAACCCTGTGCTGACACGTTTTTGACTTTGCAGCAAGATAAAATCGATTGCGCGCAGCAGTGAGTGATGCGAGCAGGCAATCTGTGGTCACCGGACCGGAAATATGGAAATCAGTGGAAGCCCGGAGTTTTGTTGGGATAGTGAATTGATAGGCGAGTCGACATAATCGCACCATGTTGGATGTAGAATACTGTAATAATTGGCAAGCATCTGAATCAACAATTCTTTTGGGGGAACCCTAGATCTTCCCAGCCGTCCGATCTTTCCAGACACAATTTGAGGAGATACTGGCTTATCCCAGTCAGCAGAGAAGTAAGCGAATGCAAGAGCGGACCCTGGAAGGGCAGGCTAGCGGGCTAGTCCGTGAAGAACGCATCGACCCGAGCGGGGGCTGACGTGGGTGGGTTCTTCAGGCGGCCTATCTCGATTATACACGGAATTTCATAGACGGGGCTTCTTCATTCTTACGCAGTCTGAATATACTAAGTATACTGGGCTTGACCTGTATGGAAGTGGTTGCAAAGCCCCCGTCCCAAAGATCTGCTCTCATAGGAACTCATTAGACCCGGGTACATCACGGTAACCCTTCCTTGCTTACAGTGTCGCTTACAGTAAACACCACGACTCATGTGGCGCTTTTGGAGGCTCAGCGCCGCCAAAACGGAGTCTTAGCTCGCACACCAGAGCGGCCGGTGATTGGGTGCGGGAACTTATAAGCAGCCACAAATACCCTTCCGGGACAGAGCTGACAGCTGCGAAGAGAACCATGTGGGGCCTCGACCTCAGTTCACTAATCACCAAATATACGTCAGCCATCTCTAGTCATGCAGCGAATCAAGCAGCTGTCTGGGCGAGGTTCGGAGTTTTAGACCGAAAACTTCAGCACCCATCGGGCTCCGAGAAGCTATGAAGAGCTGAACAACACCCCGTCATCGGAGGAATAACCCGCAAGTTGGAGAACAACTTGTACGGGGCCTGGGCTATAAAAGGAGAGACCATCTCCACCCAAAGACAGACCAGACTCACCAAGCTTTCCAGTCTCTGCACAGCCAGCCCTTCTGAACAGCCAGCACTCGCAAGTACACAACCTACAAGATGAAGCTCACCGTGTCCAAGGTCAGTTGCTCCGAGGAGCCCGCGACATCCACAACCACCGCGCAATCGCACTAACCAAGCCGTGCAGACTCTTGCCCTCCTCTCCGCCACGGCCGCCACGGCCACGGCCCTCGCGGAGGTCTCCATCGACTTCTACCTGTTCAACACCACCTGCTCCTTGGACAAGCCCACCACCTACACCATCCTGGAGAACTCCTGCTTCGGCATCGAGGGCTGGCCCTGGGGCTCTCTGGCCCCCTACCTTGCCGACGGGACCACCTGCAGCGATGCCACCAAGACGCCCGTGCTGTACACCTGGACCGACTACAACGAGCAGGACTACGACAACTGCGGTTCCACCCTCTACGCTACCTACGATGTTACCGACGAGCACACCTGTTACCCCGTGGACGCGGAGTATCTCCAGCGGCTGCAGGTCAAGTGCGAGTAGGGGGTTCGATGGAGGTTTCCAGGATGCATGTATATAGGTAGTGGGACGAGCACGGCTGGTGCATCGGGCAAGAATGCAGAAGCCGAAACTGGATGGCTTGGTTTCGTTATTCCAATGTTTCCTCGGGGTTTCTTTCCATTGTTCTGCCCTCTCCCTCCCTGAAGGTGGCCTTACGTAAGCAGCAATCCATTCGTCGATCACCAGGATCAGAAAAGCAGACAGCTAGCCGTAGGTAAATCAAGGTACTCCTAGTCTTTGTCGACGCAGCGATCTGGCTGGAAAGTTGTCCCTTCCTCGGCTGGCAATGCTTTCCTATCACACCGCTCGGCTTACGAGAACTGGACTAGGCCAAAGATGAGATGCATTCGTTGTAACGTGTATCAGAACTAGAAAACCTATCATTGTCGCACTGGGGAGAGGAACCTGCATTGGGGCTGCAAAGGAATGCTGCGTATGGACGTGAACTCGGGAACAGATCGCATTGGGGATGTCGCACGGGGCCAAGTCGCCAGTCGGTTCGATGTCGCATTGGGTGATGATTCGAGCAAACTCTGGATACACGTTGGGCGCATGGGCAAAATATCAAGCAGTCGCGGTCTTCTCCAGCACCACCAGCCGCGCCTTGTCCCACCCCTTCCGATAGTCGGTGAGCTCGACACTGACTACTCGCACCAGGCCCTCGGCCACCAGCCTCGCGATCTCTGCGTCAAACCCCATGGACACCCACACCTCGTCCAGAATAGTCGCCACAATCAGCCCGTCTGTCTTCAGGATGCGGATGAACTCGCGGAGCGCGGGGTCCGGCCCCACGTGGCCGTGGGTGAAGGTGCCGGCGCAGGTCACGATGTCGTAGGTCTCGGCGGGCAGGGCGACTGGTTGCGTGAGATCGGCTCTCGTGAGGGTGCGATACACCCCGGTGTTGGCGGCGACCGCCAGCATCGCAGGCGATAAGTCTAGGCCGTCGATGGTTAGTGATGTTGCATGGCCGGCGCCTCGGGTGAGGCCCTCGCCGACGAGGCCGGTGCCGCAGCCCGCGTCGAGGATGCGCGCGTCCGGGATCTTGGTGAGCTGGAGTGCGGCTTGCGCGACGGTAAACGGGGCGACGTAGCTCTGGGAGGCATCGGTGAGGTCCTGGTTGTAGGATGTCGCCCAGGTGTCGTAGAGCGCCATGCAGTCTTCCTTGCTGCCGCTGGCGCGGGCCTTGACGAGTAGGGCGTTTTCGACCTGGACTTGGGTTGCCATCGTTGTAGGTGTGTGGTTGGCAAAGAGAACAGTAGGCTGGGGAAAGAGATGGGGACTGCTTGGGGGTGATCCTTGGTCTTTCAAGACTTGATTTATATACGGTGCCCCTTAAGTAAGGAATCCGCATAAATCCGCCCGCCCACGCGCGCCATGCGAGAGAAGGAGGGGAACACTCTAATAAGCGCGGTCAAGATATCATATGTCCAATAGCAACCAGGAACAGGCCCATGAGATGCTGTGCATCTACCGGCAGAGTGGGAACTACAGCGAACAATGGCATTTCTTGAGGGGTTCAAGGCGGGGGATCAAGGCATGGACCTCCGATCGTCATCGCGCTGCATCATGCCAAGGCTTTTGTGCCTCTTGAAATCTCTTATAGCGCGATCTTACCCCGCGACCGCGCAAGATTCCATCCACCTGTCATTTCTACCGGGCTACACAGAGATTACATGTGTAAGTCAGCAGATGTGTGTCCAAGCGCATTGTCACTGTTGGTTGGGGCATTGTAGCCCGCGCAATGTGCTTGTGGCTGATCACTTATTCTCGTCTTGGGCAGGCTTCATATGTTCCAAGGGAATGAGTTCCAAGGGAATGACGAAAGCGACCTCTGCACCGCACCAGAGGCTTGAAGATTTGTGATGGTCTGCTCAATTAAAGCTCAAAGCGTCCTGCAAAAAGAAAAGAAAAAAAAATAGGCCAAATTAGAAGGCTGTAGCCTATTTCAGGTACCAACCGGCAATCTGAAATGAGCATGGCGGGGTAATGACCGTTGATTAGATCCGGTATTCTAGGCTACACAATCCTTCCCAGGCCACACTACACCGAGTGGGAGTCATCTCCTAATGGTATAAAACTACCAAAGATACCAGATATGCTATCCATAAGAGTCCGTCCGCACGGAGTACCTCATTCCGTACATCCACTGTGCATCCACTCATTTGACACCTCTCCCTCAGCAATGGCAGAGACCGCAAGAGACGCAGACGCAGCCATGCGCCACGCCATCACCCAATTCCGCCACAAAATGGAAACCGCCAACCGCCGCTTCCTCCAGGACCGAGTCTCCGAGATCGAAGCCCTGCACCTCCCCACCGAAGCCGCCAAGCTCCAGCGGATGCGTGACTACTGGGACAATCTGGGCATCGGCGGGCCGGACCCGCACTGGAACCAGCTCGTCTCGCCCGGACCCGTCCGCGAAGACCGCGAGGTCCGCGGCGTGACGTGTCTGGCGGAGGTGCCGTCGCTGTACCACCAGTACATGGACGGGGTGTGTCCCCCGCGCCTGCGGACGGAGGCGTGGCGGCAGATGTACCTGGAGACGTTCCACGAGGTGTGCTCCGTGGCGGTGGCTGATGACGGCCAAGCCCAGGAGGCGGATGCGATCCCGCGGTGTGAGGAGTTAGTGCTCTTCCTGAAGTACGCGAACGGGGTCTGCGATCCGGATTTCCGGCGTCTGGGAATCGCGCCTTTTTTGCCGGGGTTCTATATTGGGGTGCCTGAGTATGCGTTTGTAGAGGATGGGGCGGAGAGGGCGGAGAGGGAGGTGGAGGGTTTCAGAGATCTGGAGGCGCAGCGGGAGGCGCTGAGAGGGTACTTGGAGGATAGTCTCCTCGGTCAGGTGGGGCTCCATGGGACGATTGATGATGATCTGGAGGTCAAGGTTGGGTTTTTGATTGGGTCTGGTGGTTGGATGCATGAGGATCGGTGGTACAGTGCTTATGCGTACTGTCGGGTGATCGGAGAGGATGGTACGGTCTCCGCGTATAAGCACTGGGCGTGGCGGGTGGTTTTCTTCGAGGCGAGCGAGGAGAACCCCGCGACGCTGTACGGGCGCAGACCCTTGTTTGATTCGATTCCGGAATTCTTGGAGTGGTATAGCAGCTGGCCGGATTATGTGGACATGCGCCAGGTTCGACGGAATGCTCTGGGGGACTACACTTGAAGCGACGATGATTGTGGTTGTTGCTAGGGTTGGTCTCTCACTACGCGGCATCTGCATTGTAAACACGTAGGTATACGGAGTAGCTATAGTGGCTCACGGCATGAGAGTGGAACGGTCAATCTATTTCTGAGTGAGGGGTTTTGTTTGCATTGGATCACGCATTTTGTGAGATTTCACTGACATTAATCTAGTCTTTTAGCCTAATCTCATCCATAGGCGAGCTGTGTACCAGGAATTTTCCAGTAAGCGCTAAAGTCGTAGGACCAGGCCGTCCGTAACGTTACCAGCAATTCATATGGTGCCGTAATTGCGATGGCTCGCGCCCCCCTGTCAGACCCGCAATTCCCCCGTCGGATGTGATGTTCCGCCACCCAAGCGAACATTGGCCCCTGCTAGGCTAGTATGCTTGCATCTCCACCCATATATTGCGAACCGGTTTCACATGCACCGGTCACTTCACGAGTACGCGGGTCATTCATATCAATTCCCGTCTATCCTGGTTAAGCGAGTCAGAACCCTTGCCTTCACTCCCGCTAGGTGAATGAAGCAAACAAAGGTTATCTGTCGGTGAGTCGCAAACCTCATCTCCGACCTCTGACTAAAAGTGATTTAATCTCGGATAGAAGCAGGATTCTTTGTTGCTAGGCATGACCCCTTCCACTGCTTGACTGTCGTCCACCCATCTTACCTCCCTGGGGCTAGGGCAAACTTTCCAAACGCCCTAGCCGGGATACCGAGCCCATGTATCCATTCTTCCGCTAACAGGACACGGATATGGAATAAACAAAGGAAATTTAGTATTGAAAGAAGTGCCTAGAGGAGAAATGGAGGGATCAAAGGAGAGAAGACACAACACGCAAGGGTCCAAGAAGTCTACACCATCCCCGGCCCCGGCCGATCGAACCCCCGACCCTGCGATGCAGCCGCCGCGCGACTCCGCTCCGCCTGGGCTTGCATCGAATGTGACACGGTTACCTCCGTTGTCAGCATGATTGTGTCATGCTCATGCGGCGAGAGGATGTATTCCTCGCTCGAGTTATCGCTGCTGTCGTGCCCCGGGAACGAGGTCGCCGTGGCGGTGGTTGTGGTGGCGGTTGCTGTCGGTTTCTTGGGGAAGGGCTCGGGGTCGTGGTGGCTGGCTTGGGTCTGCGACTGGCCGTGCTGCTGCGAGCGGGACATGGAGCGCAGACGGTAGGCCTTGCTGCCGTATGTGTTATGCTGGGGGTAGTTGTAGGGTCGCGATTTGTAGCGTGAGCCGTAGCTGCCCAGCACTTGCTTAAAGAGGGGTTTCAAGGTCGGGAGGCTGCCAGCCACGATGCCCATGTTGGATTCGACACTTCGCGGGGGGGTATTGTTAGCGTATGAGGAGGATTGATGTGCAGGGTATTGAAGGGGGACCTACACAACCCAGATCGTGAGAGTAGAATAATCCCAGAGGAAGTCGCCCGTGCGACCGTAGTTGGGAAGCACAGTGAGCTTCACGATCGCTGCAGCGCAGGCACTGTACGTACGATTGGATCGGATTAGTTCATCGCTGCTATACTATTTTAAAGGGACTTTTGCAGTCTTACAATATACCCAATCCTAGGATGCAAATCAAGGAAGCCTTGGTTCGTTTGTTGACTTGGAGATGTCTGTCGGGCGCTGGTGTTAGGGCTCCGTCTTTTCCAGCATAGAATCTGATCCGCTAGACTTACCTGAGCATGAAGATAGGGAGAATGGCAAAGATCAGATCGGTCAGGATATTCAAAGCTAGAAGTTTGGTTAATGGACGACAAGAATGATCTCTCGTGTAACATGCGTACCTGTATTTGTATAACTCAATTTCAACAGCTGTATCGGGGCAAAGCATTTCGACTTGACTGAGAAATCCCAAATACTCCGCATGTCATGGCATTGGAAAATGAGTGTCTGTCAGGAGTCAGCTTCACATTGTCATCTGCAAAACCAGGACCACGTACGAAGAAACAGATTGTGGTGTAAATGAGCATCAGAGCTATATGTCGTCAGTTGGATAAGAGCTAGAACCTAGTGGAAACAGCACTGACCGATGACAACCCAGATGAAAATGCGATAGCCCTTGCGCGGTGCAAACCGTAGCAGGAACAGTCCGATGGAGATCTTGACGAGTCCAATAGCCCACATGTATATCGCCTGGGTAGCAAAGTTCAGATGCATCGCTTTGGTAGCCGTCTTTTCGACGTAGGCCGTATGTCGACCCGCGCCGTAGATAACTTCTGGAATGATGATTCCCCATCCGCTGAGGGACTGATGGCCGCAATGTTAGTACAGTATTGCAGATACCACCCGGCTAGACAGAGATGACCCGAGTGACTTACCAAGATCATGGTCAGCAGCATGGTATAATCCTCGAGCTTGGTCAGCACAATCAAATTCGGTATAAACGAGGCAGAAGACAACACTTACATCAAACCCCACATTGCGGATGAGGAAGATGCGGACATACATGCGGGCGAGCACAGTGATTGCAGCCCCAGCAGTCACAATGCTGGTGGCCGCCAGGATGCGTGGCCCTTGATTATCATCAGGAAGGCCCGCGCCGCCCGGATGCGCGATGGTCGACATGCTCACCACAGAAAAACGAAGGACTGGGCTGAGCTGAGCTAGATAGCTATTTCCTGGGCGATGCTTGACCTTGGCCAGGTTATGAATATCCAGGAGCAGACAGAGCTGGTGTGACGACCATGCCAAGGATAGGTGCATGAACTACGGGTCCGCCATGCGACCATGGAAGAGTCAGGAACACGAGGATCAAGATCCCTCAGGATGCATAGCTGCATTCGCTTGACTAAGGAATTCGATCGTCGCAGGATCCCTCTCACCAAAAATGGGCGTCCGGTCGCGACCGGATTTCCGGAGCCAACGGTTGACCGTTCGATCTCGGGCGACGATCAGGATCCGGTAGCAGACCCTGGACGGTGGCCATCTGATAGTTAGTAGGAATACTCCGTACACCACCCAAGTTGGTGCCTGCACCGATGCTTCTTTCTGGCCCTTGTCATTCATTTACTCTTCCTATCCTAGTCCCCAACCACATAGTTCAAGCCACGACTGACGGACCAAAAACCTGGCCAATGGACCGTGCGCCTAAGGGAGGGCCAGCCAGCCCAGGGTGGATCGGCCAGTGCCACCGGACCTGCCAAGTCGCTTCAACCTCGGCTTGGGCAGATGATTTGCAGTGTCGCACTCGCACCCTGTACCCCTAAAATTGGGTGGATGGGCAGATTGATTAACTTTTTGGCCGGAGTGGACCCGGGTGGAGTGCAGTGGGGACAGGGACCGAGGATTGACTGGAGAGACGGACGTCAATGAATTTGTGCTGTCGCCGGTTGCATCTCCAACCCTAACCAACCCAGTAATCCAAAAGTGATTCATTCTATAATCCCTGGTTAGTACTCGCCAGTCCGCCTCTCAAATCCCGGTCATCCAAATTAGTTCTCCCCCGAGGCAACACTACATCCTATCCCCTGGCCAAGGCCAGCCAGTCAGCACGTTGTTGCTAATTGACTTTGGTCGCCATGCTGCTGAGTGCGTGGGGGTTGGGTGGGGTGGGGACTTGTGTTCTCTCGTCTTCTCCCTCGGTCCTAACAATTCCGTTCCTTGTCTATCAGGCCGAGTCCTAGTGCAGCATGCAGCTGAGCTAGCTCGCTGGGTGGGCCGATCGATGCACTGGCTGTAGATAGCTTGAGATGCGCCGCCGTTAAATTGACAATCATTCCCTCATTCAACCTGCTTCTCCCCGCCCAGCCTCCTTAACTCTAACTTTCTTTTCCTTCTCCCCTCTCTTCTCCCTTCTCTTCCTTTTTCCTTCTGCCCAGGAGTGGTGTGACATCCGCCATCGCCACCATGGTCGCCCTCCAGACTCTCACTCTGGGCCTGCTGCTCTCAAGGTCGTGGGCCCTCCCCGCGGCCGAGACAGCAACGGCCACCCTCCCCACGAGTGCCTCCAGCTCGACTGACGTGGCTTTGTCGCAGCTGGACCAGCTGAATTCCTTTGCCTACAACCTCACCACCGACACCCTGTCCACTCCCTCGGATAGCACCAAGCGCAGCGAGGGCACCTGCACTCTGGACAAGCTGCGTGTGCGTCGTGAGTGGCGTACCTTCTCCAAGTCCCAGAAGAAGGCGTACATCAACTCCGTCCTCTGCCTCCAGAAGCTGCCCTCGCGCACCCCGGCCGACCTGGTCCCCGGGGCGCGCACCCGCTACGACGACTTCGTGGCCACGCACATCAACCAGACCCTGGAAATCCACTACACGGGCACGTTCCTGGCGTGGCACCGCTACTTCATCTACGAGTTCGAGTCCGCCCTGCGCGACGAGTGTGGCTACACCGGCGACTACCCTTACTGGGACTGGGGCGCTGACGCCCACGACATGGAGAACTCACCCGTCTTTGACGGCAGTGAGACCTCCATGTCCGGTAACGGAGCCCCCATTGCCGATCAGCCGGACGTGATGCTCTACCTGGGTGACTACCCGGCCATTGACCTCCCGCCCGGCACCGGTGGCGGCTGCATCACCAGCGGCCCGTTCAAGGACTACAAGGTCAACCTGGGTCCGGCTGTTCTCTCCCTGCCCGGGGGCAACACCTCGATGGCGGCTAACCCGCTGGCCTACAACCCCCGGTGCCTGAAGCGGTCGCTGACCACCGAAATCCTCAGTCGGTACAACACCTACCCCAAGATCGTCTCTCTGATCCTGGACAACGACGACGTCTGGGACTTCGAGATGACGATGCAAGGCATTCCCGGCAGCGGCTCGATTGGTGTCCACGGCGGTGGCCACTACTCCATGGGCGGCGATCCCGGTCGGGACGTCTACGTGAGCCCCGGCGATGTGGCCTTCTGGCACCACCACGGCATGATCGACCGCGTCTGGTGGATCTGGCAGAACCTCGACCGTAAGCACCGCCAGAATGCCATCTCCGGCACGGGCACCTTCATGAACAACCCCCCGTCGGCCAACACTACTCTCGACACTGTCATTGATATTGGTTATGCCAACGGTCAACCCATCGCCATGCGCGACTTGATGAGCACGACTGCTGGGCCTTTCTGCTACGTGTATCTCTGAGGGGAATGTGTGTTGTCTCATGGTTTCGGGGTTCAGAACAGCAATCTAGGAGGACTTAGCTGGAAGCTTGTATATATGCATCATAGAGCTGAACTAATGCATTAATGGATTTATTGGACAGTACTAGTGCAGTACACAGCATTTGAACACCACTAGGCGAGACACTCAGATTCAGTGGACCGAGACAGCGGAGTATTAATCAATTTCCCACCACATTCATTAGGCAATAAATGCAACCGGTGCCTCACCTCATAACCATTCCTGCCATGATTCAATGGCCGTGATCCTGAATGCCTGAGGCATACAGCCATCCCGGATCGCCCGGATCGCCCATTCACCCCACTCCAAGACGAAAATAACACACTCATAGTGTGACCACCACACCGCGTCCACGTATCTAGGATAGCATCACCCTTCCTTATCATGTGGACTGGTCAACTGAGTCCGGACAACGTCGTCTCTTTCCCTCACCGGTGCCGACCACCCCGAGCTGTGTGCGGCGGCCTGGGTGATCGAATCACAGACCCTTGGCGGAGAGATCACTCAGGTGTGGATCCCCGTGAGACCCGCGGAAGCGGAAGTGACCGTTCCAGTCCACGGTCTAGATTTAGCTTGCTGGCCAAGGCGCCTGGTCCCTGGTTGTTTCGGTTTTTGTGCGCTCGACTGGACGGAGGGGTTTTTCGGGGAGACTGCTAATTGCACTGGTCGGAGGAACGATGCCATCCGCCGGAAACCAGATCGATCAGGATTGCGGCAACTTACCAAGGAAATTTTTCTGAATTTCGAGTTTTTGGTGCTGTTATCATATGCTCCCTCTTTATGCTACCAAAATGTACAGCATGTGACTGCGAGAGCGAGGGTCTGCCGATGTTGGGTAAATCAGCCCTGCCCGGTCATGTGACCATCCTTCATGCCTCAGGCATCGTATAGAATTTCCCTCTGAAGTCCCTCCCCCTTTCACTCCCTCGATCTGCTTTCAATCTCCATCACCAATCTCCATCACTCACGCCGTATGGGAGAATATGTAATCCGCATGCCTAACTCAAAGCTCGTCAGATCTCCGAATCTTGATTTTGAGGGTATTGGTGATTATGTGAAGCACTGTAGCCGTCTTGGAGGAAAGCAATGCTGCTAATAGATAACACATATTGTGTTCGCAAGTGAAGGAGATCTCTGGGAGTCAGGGGGGAGGTGGAGGTTCAGGGACAGGCTGCGCAGGAAGAAAACTGATAGTAAAAGTGTGATCTGATAAAGCTAGCTGCAGCTCATGGCCCAGTCGATTGCAGAAGATACGAGGGTCGTTTGCTGTTCGGCAAGGTTGCCCTCTTTACTCGGCATCCTTCCGCGGGACAATCAGTCAGCCCTGACTCACTTATCTATGGCATATGCCAGCCAGCTTTGATCCTTTCGTATACTATACCTGAGTACATTTATCTGTTGACACTACTGCCAGAGAAAGACCTTGACTCACTATAAATAACTGACAACTCAATACTGGAATTATAGCCCGACGCACTGTCTTGTGATGGTTCTCCGACTATTCCCGGCCGCGGTGGAGCATCGCCAACATTTCCACGGTTTAAACCGCAGTAAAAATTTTCACCCCGCGAAATTCGGCAGGATTTCCCTCTTTACCCCGCCATCTCCCAATATCCCCATCCTAATCTCCTCTATAGCATCAAGCCTCCTTGCATCTGTTGTTATTCTCCCTGGATAATCTCCGTGTTCGCCCTCGAACTGCATATTATGATTGCCTCCGGGCAGATATGCGCTCCTACTTTGGCTGGTAACATGCCTTTGACCCCCCCCAATGCCACCAAGATGATCATCTCGTAACCTCTTAGCTGCCTTCACAGTGTGACATGTCGACAGCGCAAGGTTAAGTGCGACGAGGCACGGCCAATTTGCGGCCCCTGTGTCAAAGCCTTCCGGAACTGTGTCTTTTCCAGCAACTGCATCTTTCGCCACTCCAGCGTCAACGATCTTTACCGCGACGTAGGGGGCGGTTGGCTTCCGCAAGGCCCTCAGATATGGGTCCCAATTCCCTCGCACCGTACAGTGGTTTCCGGTCTCACGGATGAGCGAACAGCACTGACCCTGCCCCACAGTCACCTTTGTTCAGGTCGTAGACCCATTTGCCGACGAAGTATTGACATCCCCGTTGGATGAGCACCATCATGATCACGAAAATCACCTAGTAGTCGCCTCGCCTTCGACAATTGCAGCTGCTGAAGAGAGTATCATCCCGACTCCTGCTCAGAGCCCCGTGCCACCCGAACAGAATGGAATCTTGGCAGCTGTCTTGATCCAACACTTCCAGGCAGCTCCCGGTCAGTGGCTGGACAGCTTCGACTCCAATGCGTATTACTCGATCAAGGTGCCCATCATGGCGGCTACGCGGCCGATGTTGAGAGCGGCTGCCTGTGCCCTCGCCGCCAAACATTTGCACCGCCTCTGTCAAGGGGATTCCGTGCGGATATCGCAGCTCC